CAGCAGCGAGCGCAGCGCCACTCGGGCCTTGGCCTGCAGCGCCGCGTTGTGCTCCGCCTTGGTGAACATCATCAGCAGGTGGTAGTCCACCGGCCCCGCCGCGCCGCCGCCCTCCAGGCTCTTGGCCTTGGCGCCCGAGGCCGGCACCGCCGAGCCCCGGGCCAGCTCGAGCGGCCCCGGCGGCGTAGGCGCGGCGGCCCCGGCGCGGGCCTCCTTCAGCCTCTTGGTGGCGCTGGAGAAGGTCTCCCGGCCCGAGCCCAGGTAGTAGAAGGCGCACACCGCCAGCGCCGCGGCCAGCAGCAGCGCGCAGTAATGGGAGCGCACCGCGCCCAGGCGCGCCATGGCCCGAGCGCACGCGCCCCGGAGGAGGCCCATGCGCCGGAGCCGGCGGCCCAGCAGCGGGGACCGCTCACACCGGCGCTCCGGGGCCCCGAGCCCGGCAGCCCGCGGCGGCCATGGTGGGGGCGGGGCCGCGCTGCCCGCAGCCAATCGCGAGCGCGGATGCCTGAAAGGCGGGGCCATCGCAGGCCCCTCTAGGTCCTAGGTTCCCAGGGATTCGGCTCGAGATGGCCCCTTCCTAGTTTGGCGGCCAGGCTTGAGACGCGCAGGCTGAAGGTTAGCGCCTGGACAGGGTCGGCCAGCTACTAGCCCTACCTGCTCGGCTCGAGGGGCTAGGGAGGGAAATACCTATCTGCTAGGCTGGGTCTTGAAATAACAAACACCCCAACGCAGGATTTATGTAAATAAATGCTGAACTCAAAAGCACTAACTTTGCTCTCTCCGCATTTTCTCTTACTGTTTTTTAGAAGCTTTAGCTGCCTCCTCCGCCTTTTAAGAAACTAGTTGCGGCCAAAACATTTAAGCCAGAAAGTTCCTTCCCGTTTCACACAGAAGTTTACAAGACCCCTAATGAAAATGACTTCGCCACCCCACTTCGCACCTCTGGGATAACCCAGAGAATATGGGTGGCCAGCAGAGGGACCTCACTGTCCAATCATCAGAGTCCCTTCAGAGAACCCCCCCCCCACCAGGAGCATCAATGTTGTTTAAATAGGCTTCAAATACTCAACAGAAAGCCTGTTATGTCCCAGAAAGTTTTTGAAAACTTTTAACTGGGGCATACTGAAGTAGCCTAACTAGCCTGTAGCCATTTTAACCCTAATCAGTCAGACAATACCAGAAGAACAAAAATTCATTCGCTTCAAATGAATTTGAAGTAAACTTCTGCATGCTTGAAAGAGGCAGAGGTGAGAATGCACGAGAAGTCCACGCTTAGGACATGTTGCTCTTGCCGTGTGGATGGCCCTCACCTGTTCCAGCATCACAGTCATTTCCACCTCCGCCCTCTTCCATTGGAGCTGAAAAGCATCCACCGTCTGAAATAGGCCCGAGGGACCCCAGATGGCAAAATGACCAGCTGGAAGTCATCTGATGCCCACAACTCCATGATATGCAGGTATTTACAGGTGACAAAAACATGGGATTCCCAAAGCATAAATCAATCTCTGCATTGTATTTTCCCAAGCCTCCAAGGTTGGGAGACATGAGATGGGAAGTCCAGGCCAGCTGTGCCACTGCAAACTATTACACACCCAGCAGTTACTTGGCTGCTCTGAGAACGATTATGCCGGGATATAAAGTGAAGAGCTTTCTATTACTACCACCACAGACATGAAAGACAATAGATTTTTTTAAAGTGACTCACAATGAATAAGTGATATTCCAGAGACATTAAAGGTATCAAAATAAGTGTAAATATCCAATAGACATAAAAAAGTTAGTAACCATAACTTTTCTGGGGTACTTATACATACTACCCCAAATCTCTAATACTGCATGTCTAAATAACATAATTGTGCAATTTGTGCTTTAAGTCCCCACCCATACTATCAATGCAGGGTCTTTCCTTCTGACACTTATTCTACATTTTTTTCAACTAATGCTTTATTTTCTTTCAGACATTGAGTCCTTTAATTCATGCAAAAGAAGTGAAGCAACTTAAATTTTACCTAAGAAGTCAGTAAGTACTCAAATACTCTGTACAAAATCTCCACGGCCTGATGTCTGCTATACTGAATGAACCTCAACTCACCAAACCAGCCATTTTCATTTCAGGAATTTAACCCTAAAAAGATCATAACATGCTAAAATATCTCCTCCCCAAGTGGTAGCCCATCATGCCTTGTTCTGTGCCCATTAGGAAAACTGAAAGTTGTGGTTCCCTGAAGTATACTGCGGACAAAAACCACAACAGTGGATCCGTGGCAGCCACCGAGTTACTAAGCTGCCCTAGCTTACTTGCTGACCCCGAGCGCAAGCGCACCCAGGACAGAGCGCTGAAGAAAGCAAGCCCTTCTCCTTATATGGCATGCCTTCTAGAGGGAAAACAGCAGGCAAAAAATACTGCCAGCTGCCGACATGTGCCCTTTTCCCAGCTCAAATGTATGTGCTTGGGTGTATCGTAATATGCCCGTGTAGACAAAAATCCTGATATGCACAGTAACTCTAGGATTAAGTTTAACTTTGGCCAAAATACATTTCTCACCAGATAGTAAACAGCTCGTCTTTCCTGTAGAGCACCTTCCATATCTACTTCAGACCACGGATTATAGTCTCTAAACACCTTCATCTAGTGTACGGGCTTGAACCATCCTTAGTGGTTCTATACAGCCACCTATACATGACCTAGACCATCTTTCTTAAATAGACTCTAGATACTATTTTTTTAATCAAAATATTTCCACGACTGAACAAACCTCCAAAATACTGAACAAGCCTTAAAAATCCTTACCCGTCAAACCAGCACTTTCACTTCTAGAAATTTCTCCTAAGGAAATAACAACATACTAAAATATTTAGCCATAAGAGGCCAGGGGTGGTAGCCTGTAATCCCAGCAATTTGGAAAGCTGAGGCAGCAGAGTGCCTGTGAGTTCAGAGCTAGCTAGTAGGCTTCAGGTTGCCTTGTATGGTTGTGGTTCTGTGTGACTGAGGTCCTACCTCAAGATAAAATATTTACCTCTAAGAGCTAGATTTATGATATTAAAAGATGGGTACTGAGTAATCATCAATGAAATGCTTAGGCAAGTAATATAGTGCGGTCATTAAAAGTGATATATTCAGAGGTAGGTGGATAGATCTCTGATTTCAAGGCCAGCCTAGTCTGTAGAGCAAGTTCGAAGCTGTTTCAAAAACAAAAATAAACACACAAACAACTGGTGTATTCAGCAACTGCATGTGGATAACTTTTCTTAATGTAGAGAAAAACCTATAAACTTAAGAGACATTTAGCCAACTGCATTGTGTGAACATTTGTGGACTGACTTGGGAAAACCGTATTTGAGACAACTGGAAAAATGGTAGTTCTGTGCAATTTAAGGAGGGAATACATCGTTACACAAGATTCTTTCAGAGATTCACACTGAATGATCCGCTGGTGAAATGTTTTGAATTTGGTTCAGAAAGAAAAAACAATCCAGAAAAGGAGAAACGTCAGCAGGAGTTGAAATCAAAAGCAATGCGGCCGTGAGCCCATGACTACTGAAATTACGTTGGTACCTTTGAAATTTTTCACCACGGTTTTTACATATGCCCCATCTGAGTCAAAGAAGATCACAGAGCAATACTGTCAACTGTGTGAGTGCGCAAAGACACAAGGTCTAGAAGGGCCTCCATACCACGGTGGCAGCTTCCTCACCAGCAGGAGTCAAAAAGAACTTAATCTATAACCCCCCCTGTCCAGAACAGCTGTCACTAGGCACCTGTGGCTCCTGAGCTCTCAAGATGGGGCACTGTGACTGAAACCCGAACTGGCTGTTGCCCGATTTTGATTAACAGGGACTTGTGCAGACTTGGGAAAGAGCTCAGGCAATACAGTGGCTGCCACACAAGCACAGGAGGATCTGAGTTTGGTCACTAGGACCCAAGTCAAAAAGTCAGGTATGATGACACATGCTTGGAATCCCAGCCCTGCCACTGGCGAGGCAGAGGTAAGATCCTTGGGGCTCACTGACCATCTGGCCTAGCCTGACAAGCCCCAGGCCAACGAGAGACCTTTCCTCAGATAGACAAGGTAGACTGTGCCTGAGAGGAACGGTGCCCAAGGATGCACTGTTCTCCACATGCACGTGTTCACTTGCACCTGTACATACACGCACCCACAAACACATAAGCACGCACACATAAGCACATGAAATAAAAAAACCGCTTGTAGCTAGTGGATTCCACTTTGGACAGCACAAGAAGGTGACAGAATTATAGATGAATTTTCTTTTACTTTAGTCTTGTTATCTGAGTGACGTTACTGACTGTTTGCTTGTGTGGCGTCAGGCTCGTGCTACCTCCAGCTCCCCTGCCTCCTCCTAACTCCCAACGTGCTGAGATTAAAAGCACCCAGCCCTTTCAGTTACTTACCCATTATTTTGGCAGTGAAGACATACTGTTTTTTGCAGTTAAGGAAAGACACAGGCTGTTTGCCTTCATTTAAAACACTTGCTGTGGGTTCTCTTTAGACTGCTCTGAAAATGAGACACAGGTTCAGACGGCAGACCACTCAAGAGTCTGCATCTGCTCTCAACTAAATGTCAAAGGAGAAGTAAAGCCGAGCTTCATTCACATCTAGTTCCCCATTTCAGCTCTCCTTCCCTCAGTCCCATTCACACAGGAGCAGGGTGGTGTTTGCGGAAAGGACAGAGTGTGGGTGTGTTGGCAAGATTAGGAACTCCAACAAACATGTCAACTATAATGGGAAGGAGCGGGGAGGAGCCCAAAAAAGTCTCTTGTGGTCTTTAGCTCATGAAGCGGGGCTGCAGCATCTCTGGAATTAGAGAGAAAGAAATATTTAAAGGATCAAAATGGATTTCTGAATGGAAGTAATCAGCGAACAGGATCAACATGGACCACCATTATTTGGAAGGGTCAGAGAAGCAGATTGGACCTTAACTAGAACAGATGTTAGCCTGGCTACCACATCGTTCAAAAGAATTCCGGGCATTTATACAAGTAACTGTGCCAGAAGTGAGATATTTTATTGACTTATTATTGTAAATTTTCAGCATACAAAGTAATCAAGTATATTTACAATTCTTACATAATGTACATTTTAGAAGAACTATAAAGATAATGTACTTTGCTCCATTTACAAAGACAAACTACAGTAAAACTACATTCATGAATTAGATACAAATCTTCTACACACTAATAAAAACTAATGAGTGTTGGTTATACATTCTTAAAATCCTTTTCACAGGTAGCAAGAAATAGTACACGTGATCAGTCTTTATGACCGGAATGATCCAGAAATATCACAAAGCGCACGTAAACAGATATTTAAAAAGGAGCTGGTCATTTCCAAAAGTTAACCTTTAGCCTTCGTATTAAATGGTGCTAACAACCTTGATAGCGCAGCAAGCTTTCCCTGTCAAAAATTAATAACCCAAAATGAAACTGGAGAATGAGAAAATCTAGAAAATAAGATAGTGAGAAGAGCAATGCAAAGAAAAAATGTATTTAATTCAATCTCTCTTTGTCCACATGATCCCCCTCTATGTAAACAGGAAAAGACACCCACAAAAATCATCCTTCTAGGTGTTAGGACTCAGCCAAACTGAATCCAAGTCCCTTCCATGGTTATGTTTCATTTGAAAACATCAAAAAGTTAATAAATGATGAGTTTAACTTTATAATATTTTGCTTTTATTAATGTTTGCTATTGTAAAATCTGGAGACTTCTACAATTTGATGCTTTCAAATTCCAATCTAGTCCCTCAAACTTCATCATGAGGTTCTCCAGAGTATTTGGAGTCTCTTATCAAACACAGGGAAAGCTGCTGCTTTACAGCGATTTCAAATCCTTCCATGATACAAGTGCTTCGAAGCTATGGCAGACCTGGGTCACGGGTCAGCTCGGCCTCCAACTAGCAAAAGAAGTGACGCTCTCTGTAAAACGAGAGGAGTGGGCTCGGATGGAGACACGGACGGACGAGGCTGATGCTCGTGGTTAGGATCTAGGAGTCCTGTGAGCAGCAGGTGAGGAAAGGTAGTGTGAAGAACACTCTAAGTCATGAAACACACATGAGGGGAGCTTTTAGAGTTTCCCTTTGTTTCATCCTGTCACTTGTGAGGAGCCCTGGATCCAAGAAGGATATAAACTGAAGTTATTATGGACATAAGATTTCATTAAAAAAAATTCTAGCCATGGTCAAAATGCAACCACACAAAAAAATTTGAGAATGAGTGGTCTAGGAATGTTCAATTATTCCAAGTGGGTAGCGAGTTTAGTTTTAAATAAAACAACTTGGTTTATGATCATATCTAATACGCAGAAAATTTTACTTTTAAATACTGCTAACATGATCACAAACTTAAATTCTCTAAAATGTGAATGTATAATTTTTTTTCCCAAAATGCACCTATGACGTTCTAAAGTACAAATTGCAAGCTGGATTACTTTGGGGGCAGTAAACACCAAAGTTCACTCCACTACAGCAAACACCAGCATCAATTAATCAGGCACAATGTAATGCTAGAAACTTTTAAAAATGAATAAAAATAAATTTGAAATCTTCAACATGTAAGTCTTGCAATGAGGCCTGGTGAATGGCTACTCAATCACCTCTATCTACGCCCATGTTAAACCTTCATTTTATGAATCTTCATAGCGCCCCTATTCTTATCTTGGCAGTAATACAATTTTTACATTACTGAGAGCATGAAAAAGAGTGAACAGACTAATAATAAAGCATCACACTATTTTCAGCACGTCTGTCCTGGAGAGAGAACAGAGCAATCAGAAAGAGCAGCCTGAGTGTGCGACTGGCATTGTGTTTACTCCTCTCTCCTAATGCCCAGAAGACTTCACAACAGGCCACACGGAGCTATTAGAGAATACAGCAACACTCATCTAAAAGCCAAGCTACTGTGTAACTATGAATTTAAAGCCTTGCTATATTCCATTCCTTTCTGCTATTCAATTTCTCAGCACATTGAGAAAATTAAGTAAGCCGTAGAAATATATTCTTGCATTGCCAGCCTCCATGCAATACGAAAAGGTGTAGCTTTTTCTAACGATACTCAGAACCACAATAATTTTTAAGGCATTTCAAATACACTTGAATCTTTAAGGCTTATTTCAAAAACACTAGCCATTAAAGGGCAGCAGACACTACTGACAGCCACACCAAGGACTTCTGACTCGAGGCAGGGAGGCAGACAGGCCCGAGGGACAGTCTCCTGGCAGCTGAACCACAGGGAAGCCCATCAGCACCTCCAGACAAGGCAGGGGCTCCAGCAGTCACCGAGAATGAGCACTGCGGAAGAAAGGTGGGCTTTCTGCCCTTCTGTAGCCTGGTCCTCCTTGAACATGTTTTAGGACAATAAATTTTAAAATACACACCAGTTGAAGTTAGACTTCTGTCTTTAACAAAATACCTACAAGGCCAGATGGTCTGCAAGCTTGAGGTGAGATAGGAGAAACAAAATTCCTTTCATCCTGGGGAAGTGTGCACTTCCTCAGAAACAAATCACAACAGCTCTTTATCCCTATGTGTGGTGACTTAATAAGCTTTGGATGCTTGCAATCTGACTGAACGATAGGACCATATCTGTGTTGTGAATTTATTTCCATATGATTTCTGCTTAGATTCTGATTTTATATTCAATCAAAGTAAGGCTCCACATACTGTGGGGAAAATGTTAAAAATTTTTATTTAATTAACTATAATTTTATATACATTTAAAAATGTTCTGTGAAGCTGAGTATCAATGCTACTTACAAATAATTTCTAAAAGATTGAACGTCATCAACAGTGCTGGAAATGACCCACAAGGTAATTACTTATTCATTCCATACTCTGACAAGACATGTCAATCAGAGATGGAATCTGACCAAACTGTATCACATATTCATAATTTTGGAACTCAAAGGTCAATGACACATTTTACTTAATTCTAAAGCTATATACAGGATACAATTTAAAAGAATGTATACTGTTGTATAGTAAATAAGATAAATGTAGAAAAAAGTAAAAGGAATTTATTGCTGGTAAATTTTAGTATAAACAGAAAAAAAATTAGCTTTTTCTTCCTTTACATCTTCCACCAGGAATAACAGTAAATATATATATATATATATATATATATATATATATATATATATATATATATATATCTTAAAATGGATAAATTCCAAATATAAAAATGCCCTACATTATCTTTGAAATCACCCTGTTTTGATGAAAGCCCAATTTTGCAATAGTCAACTTCTGAAATCGTTTTATTGCACTGATGATCTGTCAAGGTTTTAGGAAACCAACCCAACAATAAAAACCAAGCTGGGAGTCTTGTGGTGATTGACAGAAGAGAAAGTAAGCGCTCCTCTGCACCGTAAGATGAAGTGAGTCTAAAGACTAACGTGTGGTCCACTGTGCAGCAGTCATGTTTGTCAAGTCCGGAAGTGCAATGGCGTGTCTGAGCAAATGAGGAGCAGCCTCACTAGTCCGCAATTACATCACATACCGTGGGTACCACAGCTAAGCTACCAGAAAACACACATACAACGATCAGGGAAGCTATAGAAAAGAAACATCCTTCATACAGGTAAGAGAACTGGCTCCCACTTGATGCAGGCATAGTGACTGAATGTTCCTGGGGGAACTGTGAACCATCCATGGCAAAGGGTGCAGGGGCCTAACAGTGTAGCATCTCAGAAGTTAAGAGATGATGGTCTAGATCTGGATACAACTTTATGTAAAAGCACAACCCATTAATAGGCTTTTTTCTTCTTAAATAAAAGAGGAACTATAGTGGATTTCTCCCTTTCCCAATTATGAGAGATCTGTTTTCATTTACAAAAATACCAATGAATGGGTACCATGTTTTCCAAACAATTCAATGTCCACCAAAATCAAGCAGAATTAAAGCAGTAAAAAAAAAGTGGGAGAGGGTGAGATTTTGGTTGTACACATTAGGAATTCACCGAATTTCATAGTTTCCCCTCTTAAAAGGCTCAGAACTTCTGTGAATCTTGCTGGAAACGATTGAGTTTCTCTGGATTATTTGATGCCATTTGAGAAAAATCACGAAAGATGTCCTGGTAAGTTTCATCACCTGCACAAAAGTAAAATAAAGACACTTTGAGAATTTACACAGCTAAGGTACTGATAAAACAACATGCGTTTTTATTCATACTATTTTAGGATTTATTATATTACATTACAATAAAGTTTCGTTCCAAGAGCATTTTTGGAAGGGAAAAGGCCAACTAAAAACAACGCCAGAAAAGTCCGTAAGAAAGGGAAGCTATACCTGAGAGAAGCAGCTCAGACGCGGCGCCGTGGGGGAGCTCAGAATTAGGGAGGAGCGAGAGGCGAGCATTGAAAGCAATGTGAAGAAACATCCATTAGCACAGGGCAGGAGAGGTTACTCGAGATGAAGCACACAGCACATTGGATAAGAAAATACTCAGGTGGATAAAAGTGAAAAGGAATGACTAAAGCCAAATGCTAGTTAAGGTTCTGATGGATGCAGGTTACTAAGGAGACAAGCTGGTCAACAGCTAGGAAGAGCTTTCTACACCATCTTCAACTCCAGGTGCTTTCCACTGAAACTGCTGTTTGTACAAAGGAGTTCACATATATTTTAAGGTTTAGAACATTGGTATCTGATCCATTGCTCACTAAACTAATTAAGTCAAAAGGTCAGAAAGTGACTACAAGACCAGAGCTCCACACTGTCAGTAGACTTATGAGCAAGAACGCTATGCAAAACGGGAAAGGATACCCAAGAATCTATTCACAATTGGAGGAGTTAACATGTGTGTACACTCAACACTCTTACAGAGACGCAGATTATAGAGAAGGACTTTACGGCAAGCTGGGCACAACTTTCCTTACCGAGGAACTATATACACACACGTACATATTTATCCCTCAAAGAGAGAAATCTTATTTTCAGGATGACTTACTCATCATGACGCCTCCTGCCAACACTACGTTAGTACAGGCTCCTGGCACAATTCTATTCTCACTTGAGCATAAAATACTGTTTTATGTGATTCTTGTCACCACATGGTTTTATCATTATTTCCTCTGAGACCCCTTGCATCCCATCTTACAACAATCTCATTATTACAGTATTGTTAACAGTACAGTAAACTCCTCAAGTCTTACAAAGCAAGGTTGCAGAGGACACAGATGTCATACCAAAAGCTAGAGAATTAGAAAAATACTGAGGGGGGCAGATAAAAATCTAGTAAAAAGACCTAAAATCATAAGAATTTTAATAAAAAGATTATAATACTCTTAATATTTAGTACTTTTGACATTCAGTCTATGTAAAAAGCAATTTATTAAAATCTGGGGAATTGAATCATGACATTTAAATACTCAGCTAACCCTACTCAATCTACTTTAAGAGGGGAAAATACAGAGAGAAGAGAATTTGAACAGGCTGGCTGGAGGTTAGAGCGGAAGCAAACGGAAGGCTGGTCTGCTGGAACTGGGCAGACCGTCCGATTACAGCATGACACACTACAAACTACCCCTGTGCTTGGCCATCCTACAGGACATCAAAGAAACAGAGAGGAGCGCAACATTAAATAACAATTAACAAACCATACAAAATATTTTAATTTGTTCTCTTTTTAGATGTTGAATTAAAATATGTAAAATATTTATTGTAAACATTACAAATATTTTTAAAATACTATTCAGATAGTCTAGAATTTTACTTTCCAAGAAAGTGTAAAGTGCAGATTATAATACAAAAATACTACATTGATTTTACCATCCAACACCAGAAGTAACATAAAAGGCACACATTATATATTCAGGAAGAAACAGGAGAAGGGTCTAGCAGACGCTAACGCCAAGTCATTCACAGATAGCACCAGATGAGTGTTCTCAAGTATTACAGCAGTACAATGGCGATATATGGCTTCTACATTCAGCAATGCATATTCTGTATAACAAGCTGTTTTTCTTTATGGTTTTCTAGTGTTTGATTTTAAATCGCCTAGTACATATTACACAAGTACATTTTCAGTACCATTGTACCATGCAAAACTAATTCAAAGACCTTTCATTCACTGAATTAATGTGTTCTTGAAGCAGAGTGTTGGTGCTGTAGTAATCATTGGTTTCACCGACTGCAAACATTTAAGAGTCCATACAATACAAAAGGAAGTTTCTAGCTTCACACACAAAACTCATTAAGTTCAATTTTTTAAAATTAGTAATGCACTACTAATATGCTACCTTCCTTAGACCTCAAAATGTGCTGTCCAAAGCAACAACAGTGACTTCCTTAAAGCAGTCGACACAGAGTGAACTTCATTACCTAAACTTTGAGGAGATTTTAATCACTTGAAAATTTTCCCAAGGCAAGTCTAATTTCTCTGAACTAGAACACATAAACCAGGTTCCAGGATACATCTTCCTATTAATACACTGAACAGCTTACTACAAAAAACAGTTAAGCATATTCTTTAAATCATTTAATCATACTTTTCCTCATTCAGAAAGTTCGAGTTTTTTATGTGCCTGAACAATTCTGAATTTTTTAAATATAGACTGCTGTGTTTCCACTGGCAGTTTAAAACTCACTTTAGTTTTTGGTATTTATTCAGAATATTTACCACAACAGCAGTTAGCACGCCTGAAAGAGTTCAGTGAACTCACTACAGAAACCGACGCTCTCAAAGGACCGTAGGCATCATCCTGCCCCTTCTGGTTGGGAACATTTCTTCTACAAATGACTGGAGAGGTCCCAGAAGCCACACACTCACCTGACCAGAAGTGGCTCCCTATAATGCACTGATTGCCCACGGGCTGAGAATCTGTCAGCCTTCATGAGACCCAGCGCCAGAAACGGAAAATACATAACTGATTTCTCACTACTGAGAGCAAGGTGTGCTAATACCCTCACCCAGCCAGGCCTCCTAAGAGGTCTAAAAGGCTGCTAAAAGAGAACCCACCTTCCTTTCAGAAGCTGTATGCTCTTATACTACCTTGCAAGAAAAATAGGACTACAGACACAAGTTTGGAAACAGGGTTTCCTACAAATGAGTCCATGATTGCCAAGCGTTTTACTGGGTCCTTTAACTAGCAGACCTGTCACTATCGAAAGACCGACAGGCTCTGTACCTACAAACTAACCGCTCCGCTCTGCCGCTGCTTCCTTCCTGTTGCTAGGATGCCAGCGAAGAGGCCAGGCACAGTCTGCAGGGAAATGAGTGAGATGCAGAGGGAAAATGGAGGGCTGCTGCTGTCGGGGCCAGCAGACCTGCTCTGCCAGGACTCGCGGGGGAAGAGGAGCACCGAAGAGCAGCTGCTGGGCCAGCACACCACAACCCGCAAACAAAATATTCACCGTCAAACTCGGGACCCTGACACTGAGTCTAAAACCCAATTCTTTTTAAGATGTTTCTCAAACAGTTTTTTAAATCTTATTTCTAATATGGCATGGTTGGCAGAATTCTAATTTTTAACTTCTAAATTAAAATTTGTGGATTTTTTTTAAAAGAAGTTTTAAAGCGAAACCTGTTTTCCTATTTTCATTAAAACTGAGAAAAATGATTTTCCTATTGATACCTAGAAGTTCCTATATTTACATATAAACCTGCACAAAGACAAGTGGAAGAACTCAAGCCATCTGGGTAGGACTGGAGTGGAGCAAAAAGAAAGGTTCCACCCTTGCAAATTCCCACCTGCAGAGCAAGTGGACCACTGACCTCTGACCTCTGACTCACCATCCAGGCGGACGTCATAGCAAGCATCTTAAAGAAGATGCAGCTGGCTCAACATTGACCTTTACAATTTCAGGGAAATACAAATGTACCTTAACTTACAATCTTGTACTTCACTGCTACCTCACAAATGTCAGCTCAGTGTCTTTGATAAACTTTTATTTAAAGTGCTTAAACACAAAGGCCTCAGAAATGGCCTAGTAATACTATCATTTAAAGATATCTGTTACAAAATTAGAACTTATTTAAGATCTAACATTCCACTTTGAAACAAATGGGTGAAATCCAGACTTAGCGCTGAGTCTCACCCATAATTAGCACACTGACATCTCAGAACATCCTGACTCATAGTGATCCATAGGATTAAAGCGAAACACCCTAGATTAGAAGTGTGCATCTGATCCAGGTCCTTTTTTCTTCCCTATTACATCAGGCCAAAAATAAACAGTAAGTAAGTCCTCTGAGAAAATAATGGCCTCACACTGATATAGATTATAGCCAAAATCAAATATGTGGCTGAAGTTAACATAAAGTACAGAAATTCAAAATATAATTCAAGGAAGGAGAGAGGATTTTACCAGGCCACTTTAAAAATAATAATAATATAAGTATCAATTTTTATAAAACCAAATATGCTCATTTCAAAGTGAGTGTCTGTAAGTACTTCCGTCACGAGTTCCTGAAATGTTTAGTGATATGCATAGGAATCAGTAATCCATACTCTCAAGCTCATGAACCGGAATGCACCATCCTTTGCGTGAGGCTGTCTAACCTGCATGCATCCCTCAAACAGAGGAATCTGATCCACTTTTCTGTCCTTTCTTCCTACCATGACTCACCAGGGAAAACTACTCGAGATAAAGACTGAAGTCATCATGGAAAGAGGTTTTTAGTAAGTCTTCTTCACCATCAGGTTCACAAACACTGTTCTAAATACATCTATTTACCCCAGCAAATAGTGTACAAATGCCTGGGGCAGAGCTACAGATAAACTTCAGCCTTTGCAACTAATTCTACACCCATTGTGGACTTTTAACTTACTGGCAAAGTTTTACTTTAAATCTTCAACTCATTCTTAGGTTAGAATATAAAACTCATCAATAAACTTTTTCGTGGTATTTTCCACACTAACTTTTTATATACAAAACACATAATTTTTTTTCCCTGAACACAATGTATATAAATTCCCTGAATAACAAAAAGAAACCCATTTTGTTATATTCACTGGACAGCTAACAAGAATTCTTTTTGAAGCCAGGCGGTGGTGGCGCACGCCTTTAATCCCAGCACTTGGGAGGCAGAGGCAGGTGGATCTCTGGGTTCAAGGCCAGCCTGGTCTACAGAGTGAGATCCAGGACAGCCAGGGCTACACAGAGAAACCCTGTCTCAAAAATAAATAAATAAATAAAAAAATAAAAACAAAACCAAAGAACTCTTTTGGAAACTGCTCTTCTGCTGCAGCAGCACAGTCTGCTCAGTGTGCGCTCACGGCGCTGGAATGCATATGGTGCAGATGGAAGACGTCTGTACAGCCGAGAAGGACGTCAGCAGCCAGAGCCGACTAGGACAGTGAGGAAAGTGAACTGAAATAGGAACATGTCCGAGTGGGTAAAGGTCCAGGATTAGCCACCCAAGAATTCAGTAGGTACAGTACAGCAGCTAACAACTCACAATTTACAAGTACATCATAAAATCTCTATCACATCACATTAGTTAGCTAAGGAACTAGGAATCTTCCAATTGTAAACTGATAAATTCCTGAATGCATTTTTTGTACTGCATTTCAGTATGATTATTAGTAGAATATTGACCTGGCTGTCCATAAAGTCCTTCTGATTCCCGCATTTCTTCATTCATTCTTGCTAAACGTAACCTAAAATTCAAGAAGAAGAACTCTTAGAGGAAGTAACACACGTACTTATAAACAATTGCGTTACATAGCACATGTGCTGGCAGAATTACAGAATTATTCCCTTACCAGCATCTGCCCAGTAAAACAAACCCAGTTTATCAGACCAGCGATCTGTAGTACAAAAATAACCGTATGTATCCGTTGAGTCATTCTTATGAGCAAAGACAGTACAGGACTTCCTATTAAAGCAGGTGCCTATACCTCCAACAGCCTGCCTCTTACAGGCTTCAGAGGATGCCTCGCTCCTATAGCAACTGGATAAAATGAATGCTTCTGCAGTATGGAAGCAATAGCTTGTCATAGTTCACTAGCTTATCTTATCTTGAGTGAGACAGTTCCCAACACATAAGCAATGTGTTCCTTCTAAATAACGGAAATACATTTTGATATATAAGCACGGCAGTAAGTACCAAAATTTCCCCAAGGTTACCATACTGCTCATACAGTGTGAGTATTCTTTGGGGGCTACTTATCCTGGCAATGGAAGACAGGTAACACTGGATTAAGCAAACAAGTATTTCCTCTTTTTCTGAAGACAAAAACCAAGCAACATTGAAAGTCCTCTCTGTGGTGCTGCTTGTCCGAGGCCACCGCACCATCTGCAGCTTCCCAGAGCTCGCTCACTCTTCCGAGTGTTCCATCAGGCAGCGGCAGCATCCGCCACTGACCTTTCCCGTCTGCTTCCTATGCACCCTGTGAACTAAAGCTGGCTCCCAAGCATCTCCTTGCTATGTGGATGCTCCGAAAGGGCGCTCTCCTAGTTGGCTTCAGCTGTCAACTTGATATGGGCCAGAGTCATCTGGGAAAGTCTCGAATTGGGAATTGTCTGGATCAGACTGGCCTGTGGGCATGTCTGTAGGGCATTTTCTTGATTGCTAGTTGATGGAGGCCTTCACAGTGACAATAACTCCTCCATGGCCTGTGTCTTATTTGGTTAGAGGCTGGGAGAGCTGCAGCATGGCCAGCCGAAAATTCTCACTGGAAGCTGAGGGGCCCAAAGAAGCCACAAGGTTTCTTTGAACTGAGAGCATCATGAACAGGCATGTTTCTATTCAAGAGGAGAGGGATCACCAAGTGTCAGCTTCCATTAGCCCAGAATAGAAAAGTCACATGATTGAAGGCCTGCTTCCGTTAGCTTCATGAAATGAAGTCTAGTTGACAATATCACATTTCTAAGTGGACACACTACTTTGACCTACCATGCAAATCAACTGAAAACCACAGATTCTTTAATAGGTCACAGAAACATATGCCAAACATTCAAAAACATCTATTTTGTGTTCAAAATAATCAAGTGTCCATAGGAACATTTGTTTAAGACTGCTGTCCCTCCAGCTTAATGATAAGCCTCTACTCCTCAAAGTAGTAGAATAAACTACCCATTGCTCTACCCATCCCAACCCGGGACTGTGCTAAAGGGGAAAGAGCACTGGGGGAGCCATGGCTCCTGTTTCTAAAGAGTCCAGGCATTAGAGCAAAAATTCTCAATGTCAAGTCCTAGCTCTAACATTTATTCATTTTTCAAATTACCTGAGGTTTGGCTTCCTTAACTATAAAATGGGGATAAGAGAATAGTGTCCTCGTAGAGTTACTGTGAGCAACAAATGAACCTGTGCATTTCAAAGTGCTCACCACATCCAGTGTCCCTAACGGAACCGCACAGACAAAACACTGAGTTTAAATCTCCCACAGAGCTGGGCATGATGGTGCACGCCTTTAATCCCGGCACTTGGGAGGCAGAGGGAGTAAGATCTCTGTGAGTTCAAGGCCAGCCTGGTCTACATGGCGAGCTCCAGGACAGACAGGACTGTCTATACAAACAACATGTAGTACGGGAAATAAGTGCAAAGGAGACACTTACAAGGTCACTATGTCGGCATTGGCTGCTTCCACAGCGATACTCAAAGGGTCCTTCCCTTCCTCATCAGTAGCGTGTTGATTGGCACCTCGCTTCAGGAATAAACATACCTGCCTGTTAAGGGTACAGCATTTCTCAGACAGTGGCAAGATGAAAAACATCCATATTCACCTTCAAAATAAAAAGTTAGCCGGGCGGTGGTGGCGCACGCTTTTAATCCCAGCACTTGGGAGGCAGAGCCAGGCGGATCTCTGTGAGTTCGAGGCCAGCCTGGGCTACCAAGTGAGTTCTAGGAAAGGCGCAAAGCTACACAGAGAAACCCTGTCTCGAAAAACCAAAAAAAAAAAAAAAAAAAAAAAAAAAAAAAAAAAAAAAGTTCTACCTAACTTAAATAATGTTTTATTAGAAAATTCTTAATACATCTACAGTATTCAACGAACAGACTTCAATAATAGAGACTGACTGAGATCTTTACAAGTCCCAAATAATTTTCATTATCTTAGATAATCTGGTGCTATATAACGAAGTGTGACATATAATCACAGTCCCTATCTTCCACAAATCTCATTAAAGTCATACACAGATGCTGACAACAGGAAAAACACCACGCTAGCTACGAATGGAGGGAGCTAAGACAATGTACACACCATGATGATCATGACACACCAGAAGAGAGCAGGCAGTAACCCCTCCCCCCTTCTTAACTTCAAGAAATTCACACTTTTAACAGCATGAGAAAGACTGAGTAAATGGAGTCTGCGAAATAAATGAGAAAAGCTATTACAATTTAGGCAAATATAAAAGATGAAGCAAACACTACCGTGTTTTAACGTAGAAAAGCTTTCATAATTAAGTAACTAAACTGAATTTCTTCTAATAAAGAAAAACAAGAGCTAACGAAATTAAAGATGCAATTAAAATATGCTTAAAGTCAGCTTCTTGCTTCTCCAGGAATAACTAGAAACTCGGAGATATCTCATTTAGAATGACTCCAACTGTCTGAACAAAGCCAACATCTTACCTCGTTAGCACTCTAACAGGAAGCCCACTTCCATGGCATTACTGTTCTGAGTATACTGCTTACAGCCTCAATGTCAGTTACCCAACATAAGAACTTAGTTAATGCCTGAACTAAGTACCTTAAGTAAAACCTAGAAATCCCAAAGTTAGAAGTTCTCCCAACATAGTGTGTGCAGATAATGTATGTATACATGCGTATGAACAACATGAACTTTGGCTGGAAACAGACAAAATACCACAACGTCAGTAACAGAGGCAGGAAGTAAACTGGTCAATTTATTGACATGCCAAGATTAAAGTGAGCATTATATTTCATATCTGTACACTAGTTATGCTGGTTAGTTTATATCTGTACACTAGCTATGCTGGTTAGTTTATATTGATACACTAGCTATGCTGGTTAGTTTATATCTGTACACTAGCTATGCTGGTTAGTTTATATTGATACACTAGCTATGCTGGTTAATTTATATCTGTACACTAGCTATGCTGGTTAATTTATATCTGTACACTAGCTATGCTGGTTAGTTTATATCTGTACACTAGTTATACTGGTTAGTTTTTATTGTCCACTGACACAAACTAGTCTCGTGGAAAGAAGGAACCTTGGTTGAAAGGTTCCCGTCAGATGGCCCAGTAGGCAAGTCTGAGGGGACCTGCCTTGACTGCTTATGGATGTGGAAGGACCCAGCCCACTGTGGATGACGCTCTCCATAGGTAGGTAGGCCTGGACTGCATAAGAAAGCAAGCTGAGGGCTGACGATACAGCTTGTCAATTAAGAGCACACACTGTTCCTGCACAGGACCTGAGTTCGATTCTCAGCACCCACATCAGGCAGATTACATCCACCTGTAACTCTAGCTCCAAGGGGACCGGACACCGTTGGCCTCCTCAGACACTGCACTCACGCATATACTCGCACACAGATGTACGTACACACATAATTTAAAAAAGAAACATTTTTTAAATAATTTTTTTTTTTAAAGCAAGCTGAGCAAGCCAGTGAGCAATGCTCCTCTGTGGTCTCTGCTACGGTTCCTGCTCCAGATTCAAGTCCCTTCTCTGATTTCCCTCATGATGAACTGTGACATGAAGTGTAAGCCAGATAAACCCTTTTCTCGCGCAAGTTCTTTTTGGTCATGCTGTTTATCCCAACAACAGAAAGCCATCTAGAACACTGATTATGGCTTTTCTTCCGAATGAGAATTTTTAACTTTTGCCCTCTATTACAAATTCTACATAATATCCTTCACCTGAAAAAAATAACATTATTTCAAAGTAATTTTTCAGATAAAAGCTACCTACATATTTAAGCACGATTACTTACCCTGTGTGTCCTAAGACAGTGGCATGGTGCAGTGGACCCCGCCCTTGGACGTCTCTTTGGTTCACATTAGCACCATTCTGTAAGAGGAACTCACATGTCACCAAAGAGCCCTTAAAGAGAAGAGGACAATGTACAAACGCGGATGAGAAAGAGCACATCTGTATGGAGGCCGCAGAGAAATACGGTAGATTTGTTTTTCCAAGAACTAATTAACACAGAATTGTTTACAGTCTGAAGTCCATCAAAACACACCACTCCCCTCCCCTTGCATTATCAGATCCTCTTCCGGCTGCACCTCCCCAAAATCAGAAGCCACCAAGTGACACGCAGAAATCACTAATGAGAGAATTCTTTACTTTCTAACCCCTCTTAGAATAGTAACAATAATGATGCTTTGTTTAGAATTTACGATATTTGCTATTTTACCAGATCAATGAAAACCTCAATGCATTAATTCACAGCCCTAGTACAGTCTGAATGCATTAATTCACACCCCTTAGTACAGCTTGAATGCATTAATTCACACCCCTGGTACAGCTTGAATGCATTAATTCACACCCATTAGTACAGCTTGAATGCATTAATTCACACCCATTAGTACAGCTTGAATGCATTAATTCACACCCATTAGTACAGCTTGAATGCATTAATTCACACCCTTAGTGTAGCCTGAATGCATTAATTCACACCCCTAGTGCAGCCTGAATGCATTAATTCACACCCATTAGTACAGCTTGAATGCATTAATTCACACCCCCTAGTGCAGCCTGAATGCATTAATTCACACCCCTAGTGCAGCCTGAATGCATTAATTCACACCCCTAGTACAGCTTGAATGCATTAATTCACACCCACTAGTGCAGCCTGAATGCATTAATTCACACCCCTAGTACAGCTTGAATGTATTAATTCATACCCCTAGAACAGCCTGGATGAGTGCTGTTGCTTGATCCTCATCTGAATTAGCCCAGTTCACATCTGCACCATGAGCCAGAGCCTCAGCCATTTTGGGAAGGTTTTTTTCGTATGAAGCCCTATAAAGTTGAAGTCCTGGATTAAGATGTTTAGAGTCAAGAAACACAGAAGACTCTTGCCTTTCTCCTTCTGGAAAGCAAAGCACAAATACATTAATAAGAATGTGCTCTTAGCCGGGCAGTGGTGGCGCACGCCTTTAATCCCAGCACTCGGGAGGCAGAGGCAGGCGGATCTCTGTGAGTTTGAGGCCAGCCTGGTCTACAAAGTGAGTTCCAGGAAAGGCGCAAAACTACAGAGAAACCCTGTCTCGGGGGGGGGGGGGGGGGGGGGGGGGGGGGGGAATGTGCTCTTAGCACAGGAAGCAAACTGTTTAGCAAAATAGAAAGAATTTGCAGGAAGAAAGAGTTCTATTGGACGAACGGCAGGAACAGCCAAGTGAAGACAATTAAAGGCCAGTACACTGTAAATTTAAACATTTACAACAGATAACCTCAGGACAGAGAAGCGGCTAGGACACCTTCATAGTATCTACAATTACTTCAATTTTGAAAGTGAACTCTTAAACTCACAATGGAAACATTGTGACATAGGAAATCATTCATCTACCCCAAGGAGCATATGAGAGATGTTCACATTTATTTCTCAAGATATTATTATTTCTGACAGACTATTCATTTCCCAAACATTCAATCTTCTCATGGAATAACATCAACTGATATTCCAGGCTTTTGTGGCCTTGCCAGTATCCAGGAAATATGTTAGTTGCTGGTAAAATTGACTATCTTCCAAAAAGCCTGGACTCCTAAAGAATTTACTAATAGTTCAAACATTCCTAGGATGATGTAATCATCACAATTTACACTATAACTCAAACGTTTTAAAGAATGCTTATTTGCCAAAGAATTCTGCAAGACTAAACACACTGAAATCACAGAAGGAGGCAAAAAGGGATTATGATGAGGAGAAGAATCCAAAGGGAGGGAGATGCTGGTACAGAAACAGCCCAGGAGAAGACAGTGACAAAGGGGACAGGGTCAGCAGTGCAGGTTAAAACCCCTAGCATACACCATGAAGTCTGGATGAATGCCCGACTGGGGAAAGAATCCAAAAATAAAGAGAAACAATAGCTTTCTCCGTAAACAATATTGCTTTTCCCTTAGTATCTTCTAAAAAGATTAACCACCTACTTGAGAAATGATCTAATCAAGAATTGACATTTAGAGCAGGGGAGAGATGGCCATGGGGTGAAATGTTCGCCAGACAAGAAAAAGGACCTGAGTCCAGGTCCCCAGAACCAGGTAAAAAGCCAGTACAGAGGCTGACAGATGTCGTAGCAGTGTTTGGGGGGCAAAGAAGACAGATCCCTGGAGCTCACTGCCAAATCACGGAGCTCCACGTTCAATGAGAGACGCTGTCCCCAAAACTAAAGTGGAAGAACAAATGGAATTAGACAATATATTAAGTAAGATAACCCAGACTTGGAAAGGCAAACATCCCATGTTCTCTGCTATATGGAAATCTTAGTTCCTAATTGTTCATATAGAAATACCTACATGAGAGAGAAAAGGCAAATGCCAGGAAATGCAAGGGTGGTCTGGGACAAGGGAAAAAACTCTCAGCAGAAAACTGCTCGATTTAAAATCTAAAGTCATGATTGATTAGATTTGAAACTGAACATCTATGAGAAGTTTCATTACATTAAAGTTTTGTATTTTAGGGGTGGGTTGGTGTGAGTGCGGCGGTCATCAGATAACTTGGGAGTCAGTTCCCTCCTCCCACCAAGCTGGCCTCTGGCTTGAACTGGGCTGAAAGGCCTGGCAGCCACGCCTTTCCCTGCAGCACCAACGCACCAACTCACTGGGACATTTTCATGTATCTGGGAAACTCATAATCCCTGCTGTAAAATTTAATCCCAGGTACATTATCTCCTCTACTAAGCAATGCTGCAGAAAATGTGGTAGTCTGGGTTTTGACATTTCTACACATTTAACTACTTCCAGTGAGTTTCATCCTTAGAGTGATCCTAATGTCGGTAATATTTCAAAAATTCTCATTTTAGGTAAATTTAAATCTTCTAGTAAACGTTTCGGGGAAACACAATAGAAATACAAAAGAAATGAGCAATTGATAAGAATAATGGCATAGTTATTTTTGGAATAAGTATGCTGAACAAAAAAACCCAAAGGAGTACATACTGTATGATCTGCCACCTTCTGCTATCATGACAGGAAGCAGAATGGTGTTTAGGGACTGAGACTATGATGGGACAGGAGAGGTCAGTTATAGAGGCAAAGGAATGGGAACATCAACACTCCCATGGGCACACAGTACGTGCACACACATCACACACTGACACATCAGTTACCCTTCCTCCCATCCCCACCAGGAAGTGGAGAGTGCTGAGGGAGAACACCAGACATTAACCTCTGGCCCTCACGGGAGCACACACATGCAAACACACCCACAAGAGAACCGACATTCGCTACATGCATTGTCCAACAAACTACACCAATCAACACCGACTTTCATCGAAACTCACCAGGCTCGTACAAGCTGTTGGCTGACACAGTGGAAGGTAAAGACTCCCGTCCATCATCAGAGCCTTGCTGGATTCCACTGTCATTACTTTTAACTGTGTTAAGGGACAAAAAAGAGCTAGTGATTAAAGTTCACATCACTTAGAAAGCAATCTCCCACAACCAACAAGACCGTAAAATGAGCTGGTACACGGAAACATGAACTTGGCCACCACCAGCATAATAAACTTGCTGCAATTTTAATCCTTTTGTAATTTAGTTTATTGGAACATAAATCAATCACAAAGCCTGAAAATAAACGTGTTTTCAGAGTTCTAACACATCTCATTACCCCACAAAGGCTGGGAGTAGTGAGGAGCTTAATTTACTGTATGACTGTGGTGATATGTAATCCTGAGACAATGGGCAACATCTAGAGAAATGGCCACACCGCACAATGACCACTGGCACAGACTTGGAATGAATGCTCCACAACAGTACTTACTACTACGCAGTTTTGAAGAAGTATCAAAGTAGGAGAAGAGTGAGTCTAGCTCATCAGGACAGAACAGAGACTCCCGCCTGGCCTCGTCGCTATTTACAGCAGCCACTGGGGACATGCAAGTTAGCAAAGCACAAAGCAGGCCGTGAGAAGGGGGCAGGAAACACCGTTACTGGGGAAGTGTAGGGAGAACATGGGAAGGAAATCAGGGAGTGAATCAGATACTCGGGGCTTTCAGCATCATAACTGCCAATCCCATCTCCCCTTGCTGTTCAGCAGTTGTGCTCCGCAGAGTATAGACCGTACCTAGGAATGGGAACCATGGGGCCATCTCAGCTGAACTGTCTTAAAGACACAGAGATCCAGTTTTCCCTTAGAATGTGTACAGGCTTCTAGCATTTAAAACAAAAAACAAACAAAACAAAACAAAAAACCCTACAATGGCCGTAACTGTGAGATTTAAAAAGTGGCTTCAGCTTAAGAAAAGATCCAAGGTAAATACCTGCGGTGTGGACGGATGCTCTGACTTGGCTCAGCCTCTGCTCCTCGCAGCTTTTGGAGATAACCCTTTTCTCCTGCTCAGAAGGTGATGATGCCATGGAGTATTTATCCACAAATTTCCTCTCCACATATTTTGCTCTGATATATGCCTCTTTCTCCTGTCTGGTAAACAGAAAAATGCCATGATGTTTTATTTAGCCCCTTAGCATGGCTAATACTGAATGAATGCCACTAGACACTGAATCTAATAGCACTTGAAAGTAAATGGGGTGGGGTGGGGAACGCTGGAGAAACGGCTGGGCAGTTAAGAGTGCCTGCTGCTTGCTCCAAGAGGACCTGAGTTTGGTTCCCACTCACTCACGACCACCTGTGACTACAGCTCCCGGGACCCTGACACCCTCTTCTAAAAGCTTTTTAAGTGACTCTGTAACAGGTAACATAGAACATTCTACAACATGTTTTCCTTCTAAATAAGAAGCTGTTTTCACAGTCAGACGGAATATAATGACCCACTGAAAACTCACAGCTACACAGCACTCTGTGGTTCTCTTAATTTCTGTGTGCATGTATTTGTATACATGCTCCCTTGTTTGTGTTCTACATTAAAACATTACCAAGAAAGCTAAAAAATATATAGAAATTAACATTAATTCCTTTTTACTGGAGAAGCTGTCATATCCTGAATAATCACTACTGGTGGTCATAATTTAATAACTATAATAAAACAATACAGTATCCCAGACTTACAGTGGAAAATGTCATTTCTCTTGTTAGCTTAAGATATAACCATGAAATATGCCTGTTCTATAATTTTTCTTTCTGATTTCACAACCAAACTGCCTTTCTCGCCTTTGATTCCAAAGCCTCACAGTGCCACCCAAGTGTGTGGTCAACATTTGCTGAACTAAGTCAGATCATAAATAATGATTCAGAGTAGATAGTAGAAACTTGATCTTTGAGACATTCGAACAGATTATGTGTGTGTGTGTGTGGGGGGGGGTAACATGTACATGTTTGTGTATGCACATGTGTGTGTGCTGGTGTACACACACAGGCACGTGGACCCCAGAGGTCAACATTAGGTGTCTTCTTCAATCCCTCTCTATCTCATTTTTGGAGACATAGTCTTTTGTTGAACCTGGAATTCACTAGTCCCTTGAGATTAGCTGGCCAGCAAGCCCAAGGGGTACCCTGCCTCTGCCTCCCCAGTACTGGGATTACAAGCACGCACTGCCATGCCCTGCTTGTAACACAGGTGCTAAGGAACCGAACTAATGCCTGAGATTGAACCACGCTTCCTCTTAATGGCCCCCACTAACAGAACTTTGGACCGCTTTAATGGCAAAAGCCTTTGCATTTCTATGTAGAGATTTTTTTAAAAAACAATTCCTTGTCATTTAAAGACTACAGATGACTGACTGCTCAGTGAGGTGCAAAGGTCTAATGAGTACAGCTACAGTACAGGTCTGATGAACACACTGAAGAAAGACACAATCACATTTAAACAGAAGGAATAATGTGACTTCCACACACTCCATCACAATGTTTTATGCCAACTGTGGTTGTATTTCTGGTTAGGGAAGAGAGTAGCACATTAAGACAACTGTACCTTTGTCCTGGCTGTGGTTTCTTTATTCCCATTTTTTCCAGTTTAGCTTCATAAACACGATTTATAACATCATTTCCCAATTCACACATAAGCTGTTTCACAGGAAAACAAGAAAGCAAGCTATAAATTAAAAGTCCTAATATTAAGCTAAACTTAAAAAGTCCTTAAGTGGGTACAATTAACTAAATTCCTCTTTATATATTGTAATTGTTCATTCCACAAAGAAATGTAAAGTTAAAATGGGCCAACAAATGAGATTATTACCCATTTGCTATTCTTTATCAGAACATTATCACTCCTATAACAGGTACCTAACAGAAACCATCCATCCATCCATCCACCCATCCATCCATCCACCCATCCATCCATCCACCCATCTATCCATCCATCCATCCACCCATCTATCCATCCACCCATCCATCCTTCCATCCATCCATCCAGATACATTACATATATAGCTATATTTAAAATCAGGACTGGACAGATGGCTCAGTGGCTGAAGGGCTTACACTACTCTTGCAGAGGACCCACGCGCAGGTCTCAGAACTCACACTGGCTGCAAGGACCTGCACTTAGTGCACACATCCACACACAGGCTCAGACACATACACAAAATTAAAAATAATAATAACGAATCTCTAAACAAAAGTCATATTTATCACGTGTCTATCTATATATCATAACCACTGACTGCGCCTAGGCCTGTGGTTGGGCAAGAAGTTTCACAATAAAGTATCCCATATAGTAAGGTGTAGCAAGCACTGGCCAATGCAAGGACAAAAATTAAAACTAGACAGCTTTCTAAAGTGCACTCATTCCTACTTTATAGAAAGATTAAAATCTATCAAACATAGAGTTCATTGTAATCATTTATGGACTCAACCTGTACCTGAGTTCTATCACCAGACACCACTAACTACTTGTCAAATGCTGTAAATCTTTTTAGATTTTCTTTCTCTTGGTCCACCTACTTCTCTACTCGGCCTTCACTTCCTCACTGCACTAGTTCATCCCAGCTAGAGGAGATCTACAATCACCTGTGAAATATTTTCATGTAAATATTTATCTCACCTTTAAAAGCTCAGGCTCCCAAGTGTCTAAAGTTAAAGATCGTACTTTTGAAAAATGAACCCCAAGACTCCTACATAGAGAAAAAAGATTGCATTATTTTTAGTAAAAAGTTGAGTCACTATTTGCATATTTATACACATACACATACACACACACACACACACACACACACACACACACACACACACACACAAATGGCTCCCCCATATAAATATGGATGGATCCTCTGGTTAATAATGAATGATGAACCAAAGTTCTCAAAACACTTTACTAACTAAAATTATCCACTTTATAAAATGTGCAAATATAAACTGTTAATTAAATCAGGGAACTGGAAAAGACCCACTAACAAGAAAACACAGTAATTTACAACATGTATTTAACCCAAAGGAACTCTCCTGCTCTTGGTGAGCATACCTACCGATGAATCCCAGAGCACTCAATACACAAGGTAATGCCCAAGTTGATGCTGGCCCACCGTGGGTCTGCCAGACCACAGTCACAACAGCTGCTGTTGCCAGGGATACACTGGACACGCTGCAGTGCGCTTTCCCCTTTCAGTAATTTCTCTTTTGACTCATTTCCAGAATCTAGGCTTCCTGTTGATGGAGATGACTTTTTATCCAGCTTCTAGAAGAATTGAAAATCATTTGGTAATTTTAATGTGTTTTGTAAAGTACTGTAAGAACATGCTATATGTTATATACTACAAGCAAAAGCTTCTAGCTCATAAATTAAACATCTATTTGGATAGGCATTACTCTAGGCACTGGGAATGGAAAGACTGGGGTTCTTATGAATAGGCATCATCAATGAAGGGGAAATGTACACATTAACAATTATGTGATTACTGACACTGAACATATAAAGAATAAGAGATGAGGACACAGAGAAAGGTAAAGACAGAGTGGGAGACATAATATTATTAAGACTCAATAATAAAAATCCAGCACTTGGGAGGCTGAGGCAGTATCCAGAAGCTCAGAGACAGCCTCAGCTACACAGGAAGGCTCTTTTCAAAGAAGAAAGCTGCTGTGGGGTGGTCTGTATGTCAAATGCTCTGATTGGTCAATAAATAAAACACTGATTGGCCAGACAGGAAGTATAGGCGGGACTAACAGAGAGGAGAATTGAGAGAACAGGAAGGTGGGAGGAGACACTGCCAGCCACTGCCATGACAAGCAGCATGTGAAGATGCCGGTAAGCCACGAGCCACGTGGCAAGGTATAGATTTATAGAAATTAATTTAAGATGTAAGAACAGTTAGCAGAAGCCTGCCACGGCCATACAGTTTGTAAGCAATATAAGTCTCTGTGTTTACTTGGCTGTGGGACTGGCGGGTGACAGAGATTTGTCCTGACTGTGGGCCAGGCAGGAAAACTCTAGCTACAGAAAGCAAACAAAAAGAACAAAGTATTTGGTGCCACATTTACCACAGGTGTTAACCAGAAGCAAGTTATTTTAATTACTACAGTTCATAACTATGATAAAGTGAAAAGGTAGAAAATATATCATCTTTGTAGTGAACCAAAAACAAAAATGATATGAAAAGAGCTAATTTTTTTAAGTGTACAGTCACACCAATAATAGATTATTTAATAAGCACTGGCTTACATGCAGCAATAATCAACCAAATTCAAAGATGTGGCTCTTTTTTAAGTAATTAAAGGTATAGTCTAAAGCCTTCCAGTGTCAAAAGCTTTCCACCCTGTACATTCCAGCATGCTAGCCCAGAAGCACTGGAAATAGAATTTGACTTTTGTCTTTTCTGGAAACACACAGAAGTAGGAAGGGCCGAGCAAACAAGGCAAGCTCAGGACTTGGAGTTCCCAGTGTCTTCAGAGAATAAGGCCAGTATCCGCTTAAAGATCCCAGCCCTAGGCCGGGCGGTGGTGGCGCACGCCTTTAGTCCCAGTACTGGGGAGGCAGAGGCAGGAGTATCTCTGTGAGTTTGAGGCCAGTCTGGGCTCCAGAGTTCCAGGATAGGCTTCAAAGCTACACAGAGAAACCCTGTCTTGAAAAACAAAACAAAACGAAACAAAATTCCTGACTGTGGCTGTTGCTCAACACACAATCCAAACTTACGAGAGCCTTATATTCAACAAAATCTTAACTAGGTGCTCAGTGTGTAGTCTTAACTTATAATCATTGATACATTATAAGACAGCCAAGAAAAACCTATGAAACAGTTCTTAATCTAGCTGTCTACAGGATTATCTAAGGAAAAATAATTTTCTTTTAATTTATGACTCAGGATCTTTCCCTAAGAGTTCTTGGTCCGGGAGGCCCAGTGGCACCCTGAATGTCACAGGCTGTGGCCACTGCTCACTTGCCCACAGTAACTAGATGGTAAAGACCCTACTGCTGGAGACACCACTCACATTGGATGCGAGACACAGAGACCAACCTCAAACTGACCGGGAAACTCTCCCCTTGCTGGCTGCCTTACAGTGCCAGAAGCTGCTGGGGAGGGAAGAGACATCCACAGCCTTACCCAGCACTGGAACCTGCATGCTAACGACACCGACTTGCTGGAAAGATGTGCCCACTGGTACGATAAGGGCATAATGGTTACAGATCGACTAACTGTTTTCTGTGTGACTCTGAGGCCTGTTTCACTGGAGGGATTGCATGCCAGGTACTGTACAGCTGGACCAAAGCCTATGACCGGGGAGATCATAGGCCTTAACGGGGAACCTATCCTTACTGTTCTGCTAAATGGTCATACTGTCAGACTGTTCTCTAAATGTTTATGCTGCTACTAATGCTTTGGTGTTACTCTCAATTTGGTCAGGTAAGTTTCTTTTTGCAGTGAGTAGTGGTTAATGCAGAGACTCATAACTGAGCAGAGTGCTGAATATAAATAACTCTGAGTGCTCAACTGTGGATGGTTCATCTGTTTCAACCTCTCAGCATCCAAGGCTCAGGAAGAAGAAAGGGCAGAGATAACATAGGAGCTGGCAGACAGGGAGGAGAGCTGTGAGGTGCTCCTATCTGGACATGGCATGGTTGCTGACTGCATCAAGTCATGGTAACCATGGTTACCTGCAGAAGACCTGTACAAAATCAAGCTGATCTAAATTCTCACATGGATGATGGATGAGGGCATGAGGCCCCACCCCTACCAGAGGAGCTCCTGGCCATGATAGCCGCTAAGGAAAGATGGGGATGTGGCTCTTGTTAGGTCACTCATGCCTCAGGAGTTAGCCACACATTAGCCACAGCCATGGGCACATGGGCAGCACCAAATGAGCTCAGAGAATTGTTAACAACAAAATCAAAGGGGGAGAGAAAGGTAAGTGGGGGTCTCTACGGAGGACTAGAGGGAAGCACTGGTGGGTGGATGTGATCAAGATACATTGCTATAATATACAAACTTCTAAAGAATAAAAAAGATTCTAAAAAACAAAATAAATATGCCTGGTTTTCAACACAACTTAATTGTTGAGGGATGGAACTTAGACAATGAGATTTTTTTTAAGAAGTGAAAGTTAATAATTACAGTTCTAGTATTGTGTTAGGACAAAATAACAGATTCATAAACGGTCAATGAACAAAAAGGAATTCTTGAAAATTAAATAGGTGCTAGCTGGTTAACAATATTCAAAAAGAGAAAAGAATGTTAATTCAGAAATTCCAGAAAGAGAGAATTGGAGTGAAGAAATAGGAAAAATCAGTAATTTTAAAAAGTAATCCTAAAACTAAAAAACAAAAGAGCAGAAGACATAACTTAATGCTGTTTCTCCTCGCCCCCTCCCCAAGAAAGGGTTTCTCTGTGTACTCCTGGCTGTTTTGAAACTCACTCTGTAGCCCAGGCTGGCCTCAAACTCACAGAGATCCGCCTACCTCTGTCTCCCAGTGCTGGGATTAAAGGCGTGCACAACCAACCCTCCGGAATGTTGTTTCTTAAGGGTAACTGTTTCCAACCTATAACTTCTATACCTAGCCAAACTACCAAACAAATGTAAAGACAAAATAAAGCACTGTTCAGGAGAGCATGGGATCACAAATGCCACGCTTTCTGGAAAACACTGAAGGAAGTCCTCAAGCTCTTAATTCAAGAAGGAGAAAGAGATGGGTCAAGAGAAAGAAAGGAACACTAGAATATGACCGTGTAAGACAGGACAATCCCAGGTTAGTGACTATACTACATGGAACGTTTAGGATGACAGAGAGATGATTCTGGTACCAGACAATATGAGGGCTCTCTTCACCAACATGCCCTTAGCCAATGTTCTCATCATCTGTATTCAACAGTGTCCAGGTAAACCACAGACTGAAGAAATCTCTTCTCTGAGACTAACTGCTTAGAGTAAGGAGTTCCCTCAGTGCCTGCTTAGGAATCCTCTAGTCTCGTCTACTCCTGGGAGCCCTAGGCTGTTCATGATAACCTTTGAAATACAACTTAGGAACCAACCCTATTAGCTATCTAACACTAAGTGTACGCCTCAGCCTACATCTAAAGACCCAAGAACAGTTTCCTTTCTCAAGGCTTCATCCATGGCCTCTCCAAAGAACTTGATTCTTTGGGAAGCTTTCAGCTAAGAGACAACATAGGCTTTCCTTCTTTGCATTTTACTTAGTGTTAACTTAAAATTAAATAAAATTTTAAACTAGCAAAATTTTATTATTAATGAAAAATATCAAAATATTTAGGAGAAACTCACTAACATGGGAACACTTAATTTCAATCCGGGATATACATTCAAATATTAAAATAAAGATATATTGAGATACTGAAAGAAAAGGATAGGTAAGAGCCGGGGATACAGCTCAGCTTGAAGAGTGCTTGTATCACGTGCACAAAGCCCTGAGCTTGAGCCCAAGCACAGCCCAAAGTCAGGTGTGGCAGCAAATGCCTGTAACCCCAGTTCTCAGGAGGTAGAAACAGGAGGATCGCAAGTTCAAGGTCACCGCCAGCTACATCGTGAGTCCTAAGCCAACCTGTCTTAGATCTGTCAAACGGGAAGAATAAAAGAGAGGCCATAGAAAGGGGGAAAGGTGAGTAGGAGAAGTGGGGGGGGGAGTGAAGGACACACACAAAAGGGTAAACAAAAGGAACTTGAGCCTAAAATTTTAAAACACTTCAATTACACGAACTCATGTTCCAAGTGAAGTTTAAAACCTTTAGCATCATAGCCCAGGATACTGACAGCACCTCTACTGACCTCGGACTCATCGCCCTTCTCTCTGTAAGCAGTGGCGATGCTGGTCTGAACTGCCTTAATCCAGGCCTGGCGAAGCTTTTCGGAATCTGCCTGGAGCATACAACTTCTACAAGGAAATAGCATCGTTTTGTCAGACAACAAATCAGAAGGGAAAAAAATCCACACACTTCATTTCATCTCACTGTGCTGTTCAGTGCATTAAAAAAATTAACGTGTATTAATTAGTGTTTTGCCTGAATATAAGTCTGTGTACCGTGTGTGTGATATCCCCGAAGGCCAAGAGAGCACGTGAGACCTGCAGGGCCTCCAGTCACAGCCAGCTGTGAGTCACCAATCTGTGTTCTAGAAAGTGAACCCTGGTCTTTTGGAAGATCAGCTGGTACTCTTAACCAGTGAGCCATCTCTCTAGCTGCCCAGTACTAATTTTTAGCAAAAAAATAATTGTAGTTGAAAGAAGATTTCAACATTCATCCATCTTTAGGACAAAATAGGATTGCGACAAGATCAAGGCACAAATGGAAAAAAAAATTGCCTCTTAGAAACAACCACTTATCCCAAAACTTAAAAACTATAAATGAGCCACATACAGTGGTACACACCTGCAATCCCACCACTGAAGCCGGGAATGTTGAGTCCCAGGCCTGAGCTATTAGAGCAAGTGTGAGGTCAGATTAGACTACATAAGGACATTCTCTCAAAGAGGGAAAAGTGGGTGCGTGTGTGTGTGTGTGTGTGTGTGCGCGCGCACACACGCGCGCATGTGTTCTCTCATATTCCTTCTCTCTTCCTTTCTCCCTCCTTTTCCCCCTACCATGGAAGCAGAACATTGCCCTTTTTTTTTAAGTGAGATACAAATTGAAATTGAAAGTCATACACTTTCAATTCATCATAACATCTAAAAAATTTTCACATGGACTAGGTTTGGTGCCACAGACTTGTAATCTCAGCTACTCAAGAGGTTGAGACAGGAGAATGACAAGTTTAAGGTCCTGAGTTCAATTCTCACTATCACCAAGATACAAACAAAAAAGTGTACCAGGTTTCCATATGTTTCCATAAGGGGCACATAAATATGTTTACAGGAAAGACAGAGCTCAGTAGACGTGCACACCTAACATGCTCACAGCCCCACTAAGTAAATAAATAATCTCTACAGATGTTAAAGAATATGATACACAGAGAGAAGTTATATAAACACTTGGATATAACATCTGTAATTGCTACTGGAATTCATTTTTAAAGCATTAATTCTTCTGTTACACTGACAATCATCAGAGTTCTCAAATCTGGAACGATCTCTGAGACAATTCTCGAATCTTTCAGCGCCTTACTTGGTTGGAGAGACCACCTCGAAGCAGAAGCGCCGCTCTATGTCTTCACAGTGCTTCACGGTGCACAGCCTGAGGTCCTCCACCACCACGGTGGGGCTGTCCTGCAGCAGGGAGGCAAGCTCAGTGAGACCGCCTGGCACGACCACAACAACCCGTGCAATCATTTAGAGGAAGGACTGGCCCACAATTGGCACTTAATAAATACTCAAAAAAAAAAAAGCCATCTCCCTGTTGGACCTCTTCCACCCCACTGATGACTGATGTCCATTACTCTTTGGGGTCCCACTCACACACAGAAAAGCTACTTTCTTCCCAAAGAGAAGCCTTTAATGATCATGTTTTAAATATCCCAATGAGAAACAAGAAATTGAAAACTTCTTCTTAAAATTCTTACAAGAAAGAGAAAAGATTTTATCATTTCCTAATTAAAATGCTAGTACAAAAATCAGAAAAACGCACCAATGGATTAACTCCAAAGTTCACAAGAACCTGTAATTAGTGCGGCCATCTCACAGGCAAAGTGGGTATCTGACAGTTATGGTTGACAGACTGTCACTCAAAGGCTAAGCGAAAAGCACGCTATCAATTAACAAATGGTTCTCTTTCCAGCATCTACCATTCTCACAAGCCACCCAAGCACTCCGTTCCGATGCATAAACCCCCTCACTTTGAACTAAGGTGAGAAAACAGACACACAAGCACAGCAGTAAAAGCACAGGGCTCCCATCTACATTACTAAGAGCGTACATTTTGACATGTCATTCTAAAGCTTTCTATACTGTCACCATTGGTCCTAAGATACTGTGTTCTAAAAGACAAACTGTCTGCAACCCCAAAATATCACTATGGGATGTCAGGGTTACTCCTGCCATGTAACTAACAGAAGGACTTAATAAAATAAAAGGAAGGTATAATCTTGGTACACAAAACATCTCAAAGCTAGGAATTAAAATTTCAGTTGGAGCTGGAGAGATGGCCCAGTGGTTAGGCGTGTGTGCTGCTCGGGCACAAGGCAGGATTTGGGTCAGACAGCTCGCAGCTCCAGTTCCAGGGCATCTGACGCCCCCTTCTGACTCCACAGGTACTGCACTCAAGGGTCCAAACCCACACTCGAGACATATACAATCAAGAACAACAATAAAATCCTTATAAAAAGGGGAAGAGAGATGTCTCTGCAGTTAGGAGCACTGGCTGCTCTTCCCGGTTTGGTTCCCAGCATCTGTGACTCCAGTTCCAGGGGATTTGATGCCTTTTCTGGCCTTTGTGGGCACTGTATACATGGTACAGAGACATTCATTCAGGCAAAATACCCACACACATTCTAAGAAGCAAAAGGAGCGAGCGGTTTAGAAGAATTCGTGATTAAAGGACGAAAGAAATGTCTCAGTCATTAAGGGTACTTTCTGCTTCCAGAGACAGAACTGGGTTCCCAGCACCCATATCAGCTGGCCCACAACCACCTGTAACTCCCTCTTTAGGGGGATCAAACACCACTGGTCTCTGTGAGCACCTGCACTCACATGTACAGAGATACATACATACTCATAATTAAAAATAATAGAAATAATTCAGGGCATGGTGGCACATGCCTTTAATCCCAGCACTCAGGAGTCAGAGGCAGATGGATCTCTTTGGGAGTTCAAGGCCAGCCTGGTCTACACAGTGCATTCCAGGCCAGCCAGGGCTGCATAGGGAGACCCTGCCTTAAGATAATCTGGTGCCTTTGGGGACACTTACAGTCTCATGCACAAACTTGCACTCAGACATACATGCACACACAAATGAAAATAAGTCTTTTTTAAAAAGAATTCACAATCAGGATCAAGGGTTAATAGCTTCCACTCCACATATTATGCATATTCAAACATAAAACCAATAGACAGTAATTTCAGAATTTTGCATATGGACATTTATGGATTTCAGTGTTCACCAAGTCAAAGAGATAAAGAACTGAAACCAGTTTTCACTGTATTGCTTAACAAAGTACATACCTTGAACTTTTTCTGGTAAACCAACTGGTTGTTCTGTATGGAGAACCAGCGTCTAGATAAAGACAGACAGATTAAAGATGGCTCTCATGCGGTGCGAAGTGAAAGTGGACATCTGTTGAGGGTGACAGTCTTTGGAGAAGTGCACCACTTTGCTTTTGTAAACTGAGGCATATGAGATAACTACTGAAAACTAAGAATAAGCATCTTAAAAATCACAGGGTAGTAAGATAAATTTGCTGTATTTAGGTTCATTCTATGTCATAACTTTATATCTTAAAAAATGCTTTTATTTTTTTCCTGCTAAGACCATAACTATTTTAAAAGTACAAACTTACAAGTTTTTTTTGAGGTGCTCAAAATATCTTTTCCCTCAAATATTTACTTTTATGATAAAGAAAACTTACACTAAAAACAAAATGTTCGTTTATATAAGTAAAACATTATGATAAAAGGTGCTTTATTTTCAACCCTTCAGAAGCTAATTCATTCAGCAAATGTTTGATCTAATCAACAAAACAGAGACTAATCATTAGAAGTGTATCGAAGAGGAGATGATCACACCTTATTTCATATAAGTAAGAATTCTTACTTCTCAGTCAAATAATGTTATTACCATATGTGACCCTTCAACTGTTTAAATGGCTTGCCTCATTACTGTTAAGTTACCAGGAAAACAATTTGCTCACAATCTTCTTTAGAAAAATGGCTAGGCAATGTAAGCCATATGCACTAATTCTAATTTATTAAAATAATAAAAAGAACTAAAGACATACAAAAAAATCAATCAAAAGCCATTCATAAAGGAAGCAAAACTTCTCACCAAGCACGAAAAGTGAACAGTATTTGAGCTGTTATTTTTAAATTAGTTTTATATGAGATGATTTTTTAATATAAACATTAGTTATTAATCTATTAGCAGATAGAGATTCTACCTTTTCATTGACAGTAATACAAATTACCAGAAATTATATTTAGGTGTTTTGAATTTCTATTTTTAAATTTTTAGTTATTTCTCCAAAGCTGAGAAAGAGCCCCGAAGACATCTTTGGGGTTTTAGGCCTTTTACTGGGTGGTTGGGTTTTCTTGCCACTTAAAAAGTATCACCTTTTTCATTGAGAGAGAGTTTGTTAAATAAGCATCTAAATAAAATAAAGTGGGGTGCCACTGAATGCAAATCAACAGACCAGAAAAGGAAGAACGTCCAAGGCTCGTGTTGGGGACAGACAGCTGGTTAGGAATGTTAGAGGAAATTCTTACACAAACCAAATGGTGCACCCTGCCACATGGGATGACATGCAATGGAGACAATCTCTGGATCTGATTAAAATGTTGTTTTTAAAATTCATTTGAGGAGGGTGAACTATATTAATAAAAATGTATGGGCTGGATATCATAGTAGTTATCTTACACAGTTTGAGAAAAACTACAGTTTTATTAAATAATAGGAAGACATCCATATAAAAATGCAAACTTTTCATGCTTCTGAGGTCCTCAAAAATTATTTTTTTTAACCTGGCCATCTTAGGGCAGTGTTCCCTAGAAACACTACTACTAACACACTAGATAAATGCTTCTGTTCCATTGGAGACTGCTCCCTCCAGTTATTAACCTTATCGAGCATATCTAGTTCTGAAGTTCAGTTTCCCTGAGATCTATCTGCTTCTGGATGACATTCTTACATCACCAGGTTGTGTAAAATACTAGAAAGGACAGTACAAATTTCTCTTCATTTACTACTTCCTTACAGAAAGCATAATCCATCATAGGCAGGGAAAAAATGAATTACAAAGATGTGTTTGTCTGATACGATCAGAAACACACATCTAACAGCAACCAGAACTTCAACCAGGTGCCTAATGGTAACTAAACATATACACGTGCATATCTGGGGGATGCGTGCATGTGCTCGTGTGCACGCCCACAGATGCACATGCATGTGGAGTCCAGGGACAGCCTTGGGGATCGTACTTAGGGCACTGCCCAACTCCTTTGAGACAAGGTCTCTTACAGTCACAAACTGGGCTGGACCAGCTGGCCATCGAGCCCTAGGGATCTCTCTCTCTCTCTCTCTCCAGTGCTGGGATTCTAAGCACACACCACCACACCTGGCATTTGTATGTGGGTAGTAAGAGATGAAACTCGAGTTCTCCTATGTGCAAGGCAAGTACTTTACTGACTGAGTTCTCTCTCCAAGAAAGGGAAAGTGTGATGAACAGCTCGTAGATGAATTACATACACACACACATGACTAATTAGTATTTGGAGCACTTGGTACAGATACATTTAAAGTACTACAAAATGTAACTAGAGCCGAGAGACAAGGTTTGGAAAGCACCGTGCTAACAGTCATAGTCTACAAGTAGAAGACGGCTTCTAATTTCTTAAGTATAAGAGAAGTAAAACGCATTTTGTATCTGTCTCAAAAGCAATCTAGTATAATTTAGACCAACATATTTCATTTATTTTTTAAAAAATAAATACTGTTACATACCAAGGAGAACTTCCAGATGACAAAAATTAGGTCAAATGGAAAAATAAATTTATAAAAACCAAACATATTTTACCATGTTTGATCTTAATATCTAAAAATATTGGTAAAAGTCACAGTTCCAAATCTAAAGAAGCTTTATAACTAAAACTACATTAAGTTACAGGTTCATATTTAGGTGCTAGATAGATACACATTTAATACAATTGAAAGCCTCAGGCACTGGTTCATTTCCAATTCAGTTTGTTGCTTCTCTGGGAATAAAGTGGTAAGGAGAACCTACGACCTGAGGATGGATTCCCTCAACACATGAGCTGCTGCCAAAGGATGCATCCCAGCCGCCGCTCCATCTTAGACACAGTTTGCTACCTTATGTCAAAAGACATGAGCCACGGGCATTCCTACCACTGAATCTGCACCTACTGTGAGCACATCCACTGTCCTTTCCCAGTTCAGGTCAACTGAGGACACGAGCAGTTAAAAGGTGCAATTCTCTTCCTCAAATAAACACTTATGTTTTCTTTACAATTTAGAGCATAAAGAGATTTTTTTGTCCATTGCAAGTAATCCAAATGAACACGGGTTAATCAGGCTTTCTCGTGCTACAGAGGAAATTGGATAAGAGAAGGGAGGGCAGGAAGCTAATTGGTACCTGATATGATCGGGCTTTTTCCTGTCATGTGAAAAAATGGGGCAGGGTTAAAACAAAAGGGAAAGGTGTAAAGGAAGAAAACGCAACTGCGCAAATAAGCGAAGGACCAGCACAGTACAAAAACGAGACAAAAATTAAAGAAACAAGCTTATGCTAACAACTAACAACGCAAAGTATCCCTGTGTTTTATTCATGTATTAGAAATATATGCATTTTGTAGAATTTCAACTCTTAAGGAACTGAACTACTTTGAATTACTATATTATAGTAAATTATAGTATTTGAATTACTATATTACTATTACCTTATACATCTATTCTGACTATCTGCCTCTACGGTCACAACTAGAAAATACAGGTAATATGGAGCCACACCTTAATAAGCTGTGCCTGGAAGGTAAGAGGAACATCACCACATGTTTACCTACAGAAGCCTTAAGCAAATAAAAATTTCTTGGAAAGAAAGGGGGGTTACTAATTAAGAATTTCAAACATCATAAAATGGTGACTGATAAACCTCCCACCTGCCCACGTCTGTCTTCACCAAATGATAACAGACTCGAAGGTCACACATAAATATGGTTCTTCGTGTTTTCAGGGGAGTAAGAAGGTGGAAACAAGGCATGGCTGTGAAGCCCAGGCTGACCTTGCACCCATAATCCTCCTGCCTCCACCTCCCAGGTTCTGGGACCACAGGTATGCACACTCTACCCAGCAGACTCATTTTTAGTCTACATATATACTTGTTACTTTAAGAGAAAAAAGCCAATAAAAACCTTGTATCTGTACTACTAGTACCAGCAGTATATACAACATTTTGTTTTAAATTTTTGTATAATCCATTTTTTGCACTGGGTTATATTTTCTGGTCCAACAAAGGAGTCTGCTTCTTTATTGGCCTTTCCAATTTAGTGCTAAATTATGTTAATAAATATTTTCCTTGTTATTCCTGCTTTCCAAATTCATTGTGAGACATAAAATAGAAACATAGGTTCCAGTGTTTAAAGTCTGAACTGAAACTGCCAGACCAAGAAAATAACTTAATAAGAAAGCGCATTGTGGCAGACCTTACATGCACCCCCAGAAAAACAAAGCAACCCCTTGATGTCCATGTAGTGCTTGGTTCTAGGACCCAGTCACACATATCCAAATCTGCAGATACTCAAGTCCTCTGAGATAAATGCAGCGTTTGCATAGAATCATAATATGTGAGAGTATGAGTGTGTGAAGGAGACAGAGGAGAAAGGGAGAGGGAGGGAGGGAGAGAGGGAAAGGGAAGGGGGGGGAGAGAGAGAGAGTGTGTGTACACGTGTGTGTGAGAGAGACAGAGAGTATGTGTGTATGCGTATGTGTGAGTGTGCATGCGTGTGTGCGTATGTGATTGTGCATGCGTGAGTGTACGTGCGTGTGTGTGTGCGTGTGCGTGTGCGTGTGTGTGTGTGTGTGTGTGTGTGTGTAAGACAGAAAGACTTGCCATGCTGCCCTCTTCTGGGTTCAGGTGATTTTCTCACCTGGGCCTTGAATTAATTGAGCTCAATCAGCCCTAGATTTACTTACAACTGCTATTGTAATGTAAATATTGTGTAAATAGTATCATTGCATTGCTTAAAGAGTAATTACACATTAAAAAAAAAAAAACCCTCCATGTTAAGTACAGAATTGTTTTTTCCCAAAACTGGTGATTCTCAGTTGGGTGAGTCCTTAAGTGTGAGATCATACAAGAGAGCTAACAGTATAATACATTTACATGTTCAGATGTCACAGACAGGAAATCTAGGATCTAGCAGGAACATGATTGGCAATGTGTACAGGACATGAACTTTTCATTCTTCTGCCATCTGCTCTCCCATACAAAACATAATTATCATGCTACATTATACATGACTGGACACTGCTTTTAAAGTGGAATTGTAATTTATGAAACAGGAGGGAGATTTTTTAACATTTGGGAATTCTTAATCACATTCACATATCCCTCAGGATGAAGATCTTTGATAGCTGATACTGGAAATATGACATAATTTCATAAAATTATACATAAGAGCAAAGGCGTCATTATATGATGGGTGCCTACAGGAGCTGCAGAAGGGAAACTTTCCTTGAAACTAATCACACAATATTTTTTAAAAAATACATAAGCAGTGAGTAGAAAAGTTTAATATCTGAAGAGGTAGATTATGTTTTTTTGTTTTGTTTTGGTTTTGGTTTTTTAAGATAGGGTTTCTCTCTATGTAGCCCTGGCTATCCTGGAATTTGCTCTGTAGACCAGGCTGGCCTCTAACTCACAGAGATCTGCCTGCGTCTGCCTCCTGAGTGCTAGGATTAAAGGTGTACACCACCACCGCCCAGCCTCTGAGATGTTTTTAATATTAAGGAATATATAGTCTTACTCAGAGGAGCAGAATGTATTAGAATAAATTAGATGGAAAACTAGGGAAGACACTAAACCAAACACGGATGAAAGAAAATTATTTGCATTTCCCGAGATTAAAAATTTGATAAGCCGCCGGGCGGTGGTGGCGCACGCCTTTAATCCCAGCACTCGGGAGGCAGAGCCAGGCGGATCTCTGTGAGTTCGAGGCCAGCCTGGGCTACCAAGTGAGTTCCAGGAAAGGCGCAAAACTACACAGAGAAACCCTGTCTCGGAAAAACCAAAAAAAAAAAAAAAAAAAAAAATTTGATAAGCCTCATTACTGCTCTTTCTTCTCCTGTTCATATCATTCCTTTCTGCTACATTTGCATATGATCTGCCCACCTCCCCACCCCGCAAAGGTTTACACTAGATCTGGCTCAGTGTGGTACCGCTAGGATGGTGGAATCCTTAGGAGGTGGGGACTTGTCCTGGGCCTTGTGCTGGGTGACCACATCATTGAGGACGCTGCCTGTGCAAGGGGTCAGTGATGGTGTCCTGAAGTACGGGTGTTGTCAGGAATTGGTCATTTGGCTTCCTGTCTCAAAATAAGATCTCAGCCACACAGCTCTGCTGCTGAAACACATCCCCTCAACACAAGCCCCCTCTACAGAGTCATCCAATCTGTAACTTCCAGACTATAAAACCATGAGAAAAATAAATCCCTCTTCACTCCAGTCATCTCGCTAAATCTCCATGTCCTTGCTGATTCCAACGGCCACAGGCAGCCCTTTCCACAGCAGCTTCATCTCTGAGGACATGCTTTCTCATCCTGCACACCTTCTCATCCTGCATCCCTTCTCATCCTGCATCTCTTCTCATCCTGGGCCTTCTCATCCTGCATCCCTTCTCATCCTGCACACCTTCTCATCCTGCATCCCTTCTCATCCAGCACACCTTCTCATCCTGCACACCTTCTCATCCCTCATCCCTTCTCATCCTGCACACCTTCTCATCCTGCATCCCTTCTCATCCTGCACACCTTCTCATCCTGCATCCCTTCTCATCCTGCACACCTTCTCATCCCTCATCCCTTCTCATCTGGCACACCTTCTCATCCTGCACACCTTCTCATCCTGCATCCCTTCTCATCCTGCACACCTTCTCATCCCTTCTCATCCGGCACACCTTCTCATCCTGCACACCTTCTCATCCTGCATCCCTTCTCATCCTGCATCCCTTCTCATCCTGCACCCCTAGCACATCTATATTGGGGGATCTACAGCTGCTCCATACTTGATCTAGTTTTTGTTTTAGTATCAGTGCCAGTTAATGTGATTTATAAGATGAATAATAATAAATGAAAAGGTCCACATTTGATTGGTTTTATTCTACTGCTCGGAACAGCAATGGAACTCCCCACGGAGACTGACTGTGCTTTGCCTGAGGTCTGAAATCATACTTTTCACGAAGTGGTCCAAGGAAATCCATTTCTCTTCTTGTTAACATAATAGTTATGTTTCTAGGGATTTACTGTGTTTTGGCTTTTGTTTTCTTAAGCTTTAAGGAGGTGTCGATCTGAAGGTTAAATTTCAACTCTAACATTATACTATAAAACCACATTGGCTGAATAATCTTATAAAATTACTATGTACTGGTTGTTTCTAGTTTCCTACACTAGCTACAGAATTTGCCAAGGACAAAAAAGGACTACTGTTTTACATTTCAGCTCATGAAACAACTTTAATTTCTCACTTTCACTGTATAATAACTAGAAGCATTACTGATACCCAGATTACTATATATAGCTGGTCCTCCAGCACCCATGTCTTATTTAAAAGTTCTACATTGGGCTGGAGGGATAGCTCAGCCGTTAAAGGCTAGGCTCACAACCAAAAATAAAAGTTCTACATATTCAAAGGCTTAATATTAAATATCTTAATTCTTTCCCATTTATTCATTGTCAGATGAAGAAAATCTTTTTCAAATAAAACCATGTACCATTTAGATTTTCTACATCAAACACTAGAGAAATGCTCAATAAACCACTGACATTTAAAAATGTCACTGAATGTTTTTGAACTTCAACACCAAGAAATCTAAGTAAGTGTCATCAGAACCCGTCTCAATACAGCATTGAGGTTCCCATTTAAATGAACAAAACGTACACCACATGAACTTACTGAGGAGACCCTAATTATTTTAGTCATACTCATCTTAAGGAGCAACCTTCTCCGTCATTGGGTGAAGGCATAACCTGTTCCTAATACAGCAGACCTTCCAGCCAAGCATGCAACAGCAAGTCATTTACCCAGAACATAAACACTACTTCTCAATTAATATAAAATTGTTCTTTTTTGACTTAAACAAGAAGGAAAAAAAGGCATCCTTGAGTAAAAGATCAATCACTACCATTCAGAAGGATGACCCTGAGGCAAGCAACCTGTCAGTGCTGTTAGGTGTGAAATTATTTTACTTATCATATTAATACAGTAAAATATTTTATATTTTCTTTTTTTGTTTTGTTTTGCAATTTTTGATATAATGTCATACTATGCAACCCAAGCTGGCCAGGAACTCAAAATCCTCCTGCCTTCACCTCCTGGTAAGATTACAGGTGCCCCACAACAGCTGGGTATAATTCCATTCTAAGACATTAAAAAAATTAATTCAGCAGAAATTCAAATTTCTTTTGCTAGCCATTACATTTATAATAAAGAAATACTGGCTACCATGACTTCCCATATCCTACTTAAGTGTTATTACTAAGGCCAAAAGATCAGGACCACTTGGGCCTAAGACCCACAGGTAAACTCTTACTTTGGGAGGGGGTGTTTGAGACAGGGTTTCTCTGTGTAGCCCTGGCTGTCCTGGAACTCACTCTGTAGACCAGGCTGACCTCAAACTCAGAGATCCACCTGCCTCTGCCTCCCAAATGCTGGGATTAAAGGCGTGCGCCACCACCTAGTTACAAGTAAATTCTTAATTAAATATATATATATATATATATATATATATATATATATATATATATATAAATGAGAATTTAGTCATTATAAACCAATCATTAAAAAATTCTAGTTTTCTCCTTTAAGCCTTAAGTTTCAAATTTAAAAATCTGTGTTTTCACTTTTCACCTGACTCTTAGGATTCAGTGGACTGTATTAAAGAAAGTTAATAAGGAATTTGTAGAATTTAGATAGTTCTGGGGGAAAAGAGTTGCCAATTACAAGGAAAGGCAGAAAATGGCAAACACATTAAAATCAAGACTAACGTTTGAAGTCCGTTACCTGTTCCACGTTTTGAAGGCATTGCTGGCCCGCTTGAAGAGATACCCTTCCATGACAATGCCATTCGCTGCGTCTACATTATACTCTAGCTTGGAATCATCACTGGAGAAGTCCTAAACAAGACACACATGAGTTCAGACAACTGCGTTCCCAGAGAAAGGAACGTATCCAGGGAAAAGAGCTTTACAACACTTGCATAAACTTTAGGTAAGAACAGGGGAAGGGACACAACCATTGAAGGTCTTAGTTCAGGGTGCTGAGAACCAAACTTCGCGTCTCCAGCCCTGGAAGCCAGAGCTCTTCTGCAGAGACTGGATGACACTTAGCTGCGAGAAACCAGCCTTAAGGAAAAGCAAGTAAGAATCGTCCCAGGGCTTTCTAACATGAATATGCTAAAACATGAAAAGGAAATAGGTTGAATTAAGAATTTTTAAAATTTTGGTATCTTTCAAATTTTAAGCATAAAAAGCCAGTCTACAAATGAATCATTATATTTCTACAGACTTTTTCTTTGGAAAAAATAGAAAACACTAGTTCCTTCATTAAAACTATATGTACATCTATTTTTTTAAATTCACATTAACTCTGTATATGGGCATGTGCACATATGTGCATGCATGTGTACTTGCATGTATAGTGTTGAAACTGAACTCAGTACAACAGACAAGTACTCTGCCCCAAGCACATATATCCCAGCCATCATGCACAGCAGAGTGCATTAAGTCAGTAATAGACTTTTGCAACATATGTATAAGTTCATCCATGCATGTATATGCGTGTGAAGCCAGGGGTCAACATGAAGTCTCTTCCTGTTGCATTCCACCTCAATTTTTGAACCTGGAGCTCACCAATTCAGCAAGACTCGCTCCAGGTCCCAAGCACTAGTACTACAGTGTGGGTCACGCCTCCCAGCTTTTTACAGGGTTACTAGAATCTGACCACAGGTCCTGAGGCTCACACAGCACGCACTTTACCAGATGAGCCGCTTTCCCAGCCCTGACTTTTATAATGCCTTTAAAGGGTTCTCATGCTTTTAGATTTTGTTTTTACATTTACATTTTAAATCAGCATAGAATAGGTTTCATTATGACATATTCATATCTGTAGATTTCATGGACTTAGTATTAATATATCAGGCTAGATTCCACATACAAGAAAGAATTCGTTTATCTTTCTGATACTTGCCTATTCTGTTTCGACTTCTATCCGTCTTCCTGCAAATGACAAAGTTTTAATTCTTCTTTAAGGCTAAATGAAACTCTGTGTGCACACGTGCATGCACATGTGACATTTTTTTTAGCCATATGCTTGAAGACACCTGGGTGACTCCACATCTAGGCCACTGTCAACAGCAGCAATTAACTCAAGTGTGAAGGTGTCTCTGCGATGTGCTTCCCTTATATACTTGAGGTACAGGAGTGGTGGTACAGCTGTCCACATGGTGGTTTTGGTTTTAGTTTCTCGAGAGGACTAAATGTTTTGTTTGTAGCATCTGGAGGCTCTTAGTAATCATTACGATACTCAGAACATAAATAATGGGGCTAGGAGTACAGCTCAGTGGTAGTGTGCTTGTCCAAGATATGCAAGGCTAAGTTAGACTCTCAACACCAAAGCAGTAATAATCTAAAACATAAAACAAAACTTCCTGGGATGTCCAATGCTCTGTAAATGTGTGTTCTCAACTACTTTTTGAGATTTATGAGTCTTCTATTATCGATGTCCCTTAATAAAGTACTCAGATGTGACACATTGCAGTAGGTTCCATATGTAAGGAGCTAGGAATAGCGGATGCGATATTGCTGCTGGAACCTCTGCGAACACATTCATGATCTGATAGTTAGGAAGGAACACTCAAAGGCAATGGGAAAAAGGAAAACTGGAAGACAGAGGTCAACAGAACAAGACATCGGCCTCTCAGGAGAACCTGCGCTTTCCTGCAGGGCCCAGGAAACAGAAGGCTCCACTAAGAAGAGTGAGTGAAAGGAGCAGATGAAAGCCTCCCCACTGAACCCGCAAGTGAGAGCAGAGGGACGGTATCACCACTACCATTCAAGACTATCTATCACAAAGGTCCTAGTCAACCAGAGCACGGAAAAGGTGAAGGGTAGAAAGAAAGAAGTGCACTGTCCTGTCGTTACTTAGGGAGAGGATACTACACACAGAACACTCAAAAGAATTCAGAGAGAAATCAGTACCAAGAGCATTAGTAAGATGGCTGGGTATAAAATCATTACAGGGACAGCATTAGTAAGATGGCTGGGTATAAAATCATTACAGGGCAATCAATCTCACCCAAATATAACAGAGATGAACAGTGACTTTCTAAAGGTACCAGTTACAGGAACATTTGTAATGTAACTGTCTGGAAATAAGTCTAACCAGAGGTATGTGAGGAAATCACAGAACCTTATGCAAAATCACTAAAGAAAATTTAAACAGAAGGTAGACTAAGACTGTGACATAGACATCATTATAAAATCTCACAGATCCAATATAACCTCAATTAAAATCTCAAAAGCCCTTTTTTTTTTTTTTAAAGAATTAACTACTGCTGTGTGTTACTGGGTGGCGGTGGAGAGACTAACAAATGTCACAGTACTCATGGAGGGCGGAGGACAACTCCGTTCCAGAGACTGAACCAGACTACCAGGTTTGCGTGGCAAGCGCTCATCTCACCGGTCCCCCGAAAGCTCTGGGGTTTCCATGCATACAAACCTCAATCTGCACAGAGAGGGGGTGGGGGCTTTGCTTTCTCAGACATGAAGAGTTACTATAAAGCTGTAACAGCTGAGACAACAATGTGTCTGATAATTAAGACAAAATGACCAGGGGATGGGAAAGACAGCCCAGAAAGCACCTCGGACAGAAGAGGGATGGGGGTGACACAGGCTGCAGCACAGAGCACTGGAGGAAGAGGGTCACCAACTCACCAAGAGCAACGCTCTATCCACGGGAGGAAGCGACTCTCTACCCACTCTCCCAAGAACCCAGGTACACGTGGATTAAAGAGCTGAATGCCAGGGCAGAGGAGCACACAGCTCAGGGGCACAGCACCTACCTGCCCATCCTACAGGAGGCTGGAGGCTCAATCCCCAGCACCATTACAGAAACAAACAAACCAAGCAAAGGTATAAGCATGAAAAGCAAACCGACAGGGGAGAGGTATTCATGATCTTGAGATGGAACTGCTGAGCAAGGGACAAAGGCACCAGATCCAAGGCTGACCACCATGAGAACCTAAATCACATGTGTCTAAAATACAAGAACTTGGCCGTCAGTTAGGAAGGCCAGCAGTGAAAAGGAAGAAAAAAGAACAGACATTTCACAAACAGGGGCCACAAATGACCGAAAGGGACAGCTCACTAGTCACTAACGATGCCTAAATGAAAACCACCGTGTGATATCATCCAGCTCCACAGAGCAGTGGTGAGAACAGTGGGAACCTCAGCACTGCCTGCCAGCATCCTGGCCACGGTGAGCACATGCACACTGCCAGGCACAGCAGCTCTACTCCATTCGTGTGTACATCTACCCAAAGACACGCAAAGGCATGGGCAGGACATCCGGTGCACCCACAGCATCACTATTTAACAATCACTACTGATCAATGCAATTGTCAAAACACCTTAAAAAGTAGATCAGAAATGCTTTCCCTTACATTTTAGTTGATTTGATTGATTGATTGATTGATTGATTGATTGATTGATTGATTACCTGTAATGCAGCCTGTGTCAGCATTTGGGGCAGAGAAAGGATTCACAATGAGTAAAAACAGCATTATTTTCTTAAAGGAAAACAGTTGTGTATTGTTGAAAGTCAAACAGTCTCAGATTTGATAAGTTACCAGTTTGAGGCCTTCAGTAGAATACTGAACTATGTATATGATAAAGATATTAAAATATATATACCCAATTTAATCAATAATCATATATTTCTAGAAACATAATTTGTCATTTTACTAAAAAATGATTGATTCCGCTTTTAGCAATCGTTTGACAGTAATGCCATTAAAACAAGCTACTCATCAAAATGCCATGTTGTATACCATAGACATGAAGACGAGCCAGGCACGGTAGTGCACACCTGTGATCCCAGTACTCAGGAGGCTGAGGTGGATGGATCATGAGTTCAAGGCCCGCCTGAGCTACACAGTAAGACTCTGGGAAGAGAGAGAGAGCGGCAGAAGAGAGCAACATGAACTGTAAGTTCAACTGAAGCTGGGATGGCAGCGCACACCTGTAATCCCAGGCACAGGAGGCAGAGAGGGAAGGCCTGAGGCTAGGCTGGGCAGTACACAAAGATCACGTCTATAAACAAAAGGAAATACGGACTTAGCCTCTAATAACTAAAAGTAACTGATTTAAAGATGGCCTACGAGAAAAGTCTTTGCTTTTCTAAGTGTTATTTTCCTTTGAGCATGAATAATCCATTAATAATTTTTCTTACACTTGCTACTGACTTTGCTTCATTTTTTTTCCATTCACATCTTCTATGTCTGATCTAAGTAATCTAGAATCAAGGATGACCCAATTGCTAATTATCATGCAGATGGAACTTTGTCACAACTTTATGTAACTATTCAATCCCTGATTTGCCTTTCATGCTTGGGTCACTGAACAAATCCATCAGACTATCACAGATAAAGTCCTATTAGGTATGCTTCAGATACAACACAATCAACTTTTGTATGAAGAAATAAGTACAAATTTACTATTGAATTTTCATTTTTAAAAACATTGGTCAAAAGTAGTTTAGCTAGGCTTAGGTAATTGAACAAGCAGCGAGGGTCCAAAAGGGATGTGCTGAGCTGCCCTGGAGTGGGTGCAGCTGGGAAGTTAGTAACCAAGAGAAAAGGAGACAGAGAGAGAGAGAGACAGACGGGGAGAGCACACACATTCCTTCTCCCTCTCCCTCCCCCCCACATGCACATGTGTGTATAGATGAGCACACACACATGCCCCCTTCCCTCCTCTCTCTCTCTCTCTCTCTCTCTCTCTCTCTCTCTCTCTCTCTCTCTCTCTCTCTCTCTGTCTCTCTCTCTAGCACACACTTTGGCAGGTGGTTGTCTGTATCCTAAATGAAACCACGAATAATATTCAAAACTGCAACAAAGTGTAACCTTTAGTCAAACTCTTGACAGATTAGCAGTACTTATAAACTGGTTCAAGAACACAGTCTGCAACGTTTTGATCTGAAAAGATAATGAGATGCACACATTAACATCTACAACACTTGACTTTTCATGGGAAGGAGGATTTACTGTAACGAGCAACTGGAGGAGTCTGTGTAACCGTGGTGGTTGCACACACTACCATCCCGGGAACGGAAGTCAGTCTGGTCTGCCTGTACCTTCTGCTGGATAGTAGAATGCTTCTGCTCCATCTCTCTTTTCTCCTTTGCTGCGTCCACAACCAGTCGATCCAACTAAAGGGAGGAAGAAAATGACAGACTTAAAATTCAGAGAAACAAAGGCCTTTCTTAAAACCATATTCCAAGTCATTTTGCCAATTAAAGTGAACCTAAAAAGGCATTTTTGGCTACACATTCAAGAAGAAGTTCCCATTTTCCTAGTATTAAACCGTTTTTGGGAAAGCTCCTATCCTAATTAGGGGAGGTTTCCGAGCTGGAGCCTTGTCTTGAGCACTGCAGTGGTGTGCCCATCCTTGAGGACGATGATGACTCTGACCTAAAGTGCCTGCTGACCCACTTAGAAGATGTTGGAGCTGCAGACAAGATAAAAACAAATCAAAACAAAACAAAGCACCACACAAAAACACAATTTGTTTGTATTCCAACACTAGCAAAAGGCGATGCAGCTGAACTAGGTAGGGCAAAGGTCACAAGCTTACATCAACAGATACGTGCCATCTCTCCCCATACACCATGTTTTCAACTTGTCTTCCTTATGTTATAAACTCATCTGTAACTGGCCAAATAAATAAGACAGCTGGAAGGTGGGGGGCGGGGGGGATGCAGTGGTAAGCTTGCTTGAGCCCAGGAGTTAAGACCAGACTGGTACACACTGTAAAGACCTGGCTCTGAAAGGTTAAATTAAAATAATAAAAGAATATTAATCCCATAGTTCCAATTGTTATCTCCTAATTACTCAGCTACTACAAGATTACCCTAATTGGCCACATCTAAACAGACCACTACAGAAAATGTGGCTTAATACATGTTTTTCAAGGCCTGTAAAATCCCTTGGTTTAGAAGGGAAAGGACCCAAAACTGAAAGCAATAAGTACCTAAAAACAAATAATCATTTCCACTAGCTAACTACAACTCAATTCACATGACTCTTATAAACGACGTCTAATGCAAGACGATGGGATGCGAAGAGTGCCAGAACACAGGAAAGTCTGATGAGGCCTCCCACCAGGCCTGGACCAATGACTTAGCTACATGCTTGTACATCACATTGACCCTCTCCTGTACCATAACAGCTCAAATGTTCCCAGGATCTATTTCCTCCTCCTCCCTAACAATGGGAACCACCCCACACCTAATTCTGCCAGGTCATTTTCTAGCAACAAAGCTGTGTTTCCCAGGTTTCCTTGTGGTGAGTGACTGAGCACAGGTCACTAGATGTACGCAGAATGGACATACACAATTTCTAGGAAATGTCCTTAGGCAGACAACGTGTTTTTCTTTTCCCTTTCCTCCCTTCTGTTAGCTGGAGTTTGAGAACGATGGCTAAAACCGATAAGTCTCTTTTAACCATGAGGCTAACTCCGTACACAAACGGCCATGAACCTGTGCTTCTGACTTTACACAGAAGAAATAAGATTCTTTTACAGAAGGCCTAGGACCCTCAGGCTGGATTGCAAACAAATCCAACCTCAACTGACATATACACAGAGCATTTGGCAGGGAGATGAACAGCAGTCCAGTGCAAGAGACAAAAAACCAGAATGCATGTAATTCATGGCATATGCTCTGGACACAATACCATCCTCTCTCCCTCCTCGCCTCCCACACACACTTTGATCATTGAATGGTATTCCCATTCCACTCTTACCTTTCTCCCATTTCCCTAAATTCAATTTTTTTTCTTAATCCCCCACCTCAGAAAGTACCCTGGGAAAGAAAAACCTACAGAGTAATACTATTAAATCAAGAGGAAGAAGGCAAGGCTCATCACTCAAAAAAAAAAAACAAAAAAAAAACCAAAAAAACTACCCTCTGAAGTGACTTGGGCCAAGTCAGTGCACACACCTATCATGTACAAGGCCTTAGGTTTGAGCCACAGTGTCACCAAGGGGGACAAAAAGGTTCCAAACATATTTAACACAGTTCTGTGAAATAATAATAAATGGTCGTGGGATTCTAAGACTTTCATTACCCAAGTAGCCAATATAATTTTTTGAAAATAAAAAAGAGCAATGTGTTAATTAAAAGCAAATTAGGTCAGTGACTCAATTATTCAAATTTAAAAGGTAGAGGACTAAATCCTGCTATTTGCACTACAGAAGAGCAGGCTGTACCTCGGCCTGCCTCAGCCTCCCAAGTGCTGGGATCACAGCCTTGCCCTACACCGGAGAGCAGTGTTACTTCAAGTCTCAGGTGCAGCACCCTCACGTTCAACATTTAACACAGGCATTACACCTGCAAGACCACTTCTTGCTCAGTATTTAACCCATATGTAAATGTGCTATAGTGTCAAACTCCTTAAGTAAATGAGAAGCCAGTTTCCCAATGTGCTAAATATCTTTAGAAACACAAACGTCAACAAACAGTACAGAATGGAGAAATCCAGTTCGAGAGCTTACCTGTGCTCCAAGGTCTTTCATGTAGGGCCCAAGTTCACTGAACAGGTCATACCCTTGGTGGAAGAAGGCCAGATGTGCGTACATGAAGGACAGCATCTGGCGGGGAAAGAGGGACTTCAGATGCACTGCTAGGAGCTTCAGAAAGCTTGACGCTCACTCCACGAGAACCCAAAGTATCTACTTAAAACTGAGTAGTTTTCTTCTTGAGAACTTCATGCATAATTGCAAGTACAAAGAGAATAACGTTTTTCTAGGAGAAACACCCAGTGTCTGACACTGAACAGCCGTAGTTAACGGCTGCTACACTGTAACTCACATGGGTGATCTCAATAATAGTCTCAATAGCCTCACTGTCTTCCTAGAAATCCTTAAGTACATTCTGAGATGTCTATGTGGTCCTTCAAGTCAACTCCCTCAGCAAAAAAGACATGAAAAGACAAGAAACATAAACAGTAGCAAACACTCTAACCCACCAGGGTCACCAGGGTCACCAGGCCTCAGTGAGATTCGAAGACTCTCACTTGTCCAAAAAATATATACAAGTGGGGCTGACAGTGACTCCTCTGTCTTTAGAAAGCTATTATTTATTTATTTATTTATTTATTTATTTATTTATTTATTTATTTATTTATTTATTTGACTTTGTGTGCGTGTGTGTGTGTGTGTGTGTGTGTGTGTGTGTGTGTGTGTGTGTGTTCACACATGCCTGGGGAGTGTGGAGGACAAAGGAAACATTTCTCAGTCTGCCACTGAACTCGGACCATCAGGCTCAGCAGCCAATGTCTACATCTGCTGAGCCACCTCAGTGGCCCTGGGAATTTCCTTATATCATCCCACAGATCCAAAATTGACATTAAATATGGGGTGGGGGTCCCCAGCTTTTTCTGTATTTTATTAATCCACAAAAGAAAAGACACCCCTGTTTTTATTAGTTAAGTTTTTACACGGGAAGGAATTCTATATAATTAAATGTACGCAAAGGATCTCCTGAGACCTGCTTTATTTTTTAACAAGAACACATATCTGTTTAATATTCTGAAAACTAAAGTAGGTTGTAAGAATGTTGTTACTCAAGAATCCTCTACAGAAAATTTTGTTTTCAATATAAAAACTAGTTAAATAAAATTCAAAGATTAACGATAAAAATTCACATATAAGAATTACTATAGTGTTAGATAATGGTAATGATTATACAACTGTGTGAAAATATTTTTCAAACCACTGAATTATAAAGAGGGATTAATAAGATTATATAAAAATGTAAAATACACCAGGCCACACTACAGCTTCCTCGACAAGACTCTTCTCCTGCTTGTTTTGTTTGTTTGTTTTGATTTTTTTATTTTTCCTTTAAATTTTGTTTTGTTTTGGGGAGAGGTTGTGGGGGCAGAGGGCGAATGTGGGGGACTGGGAGATGGGTGGGATTGTGCATATGTGAGATCCACAAAGAATCAATAAAAGTTAAAAGAATTTTTAAAAATGTAATATACGTATACATCCAAATAAATACTAAGCATATTAAAAAAAAATAAATGAGGCCGGTGGTGGTGGTGGTGGTGGCGCACACCTTTAATCCCAGAACTCGGGAGGCAGAGCCAGGCAGACCTCTGTGAGTTTGAGGCCAGCCTGGTCTACAGAGTGAGTTCCAGGACAGGCACCAAAACAACACAGAGAAACCCTGTCTCCAAAAACTAAACAAACAAACAAACAAACCAGGAAAACACAGTGATCAGTGATGTGAATCCATTAAAGATGACACAAATCAGTACAAAAAATGAAGGATTCGACAGAATAGGAGAAAAGGACACACATATGTCTCGTAAGTAGCCAGGAAAATACATGGAAAAAGGTGACCAAACTCTGGAACTCTCATGTTCTGTCCCCCACACCACTGGGGAAAGGAGGAGACAGGACTACAATGCCCACGGCTGGGAAACATCGGCAGAGAAATGACTGCTCTCACCACAGCCGTGGAAACAGCTCAGAAGCCTTGACATTTGAAGTGTTTTTAAAGCCTTTTCCAGGTTTGAAAACTTTAACTAGGATGGCAAGGCGGCTCAGGGAAGATGGCCACTGACCCAACACCCCCGTGGTAGGAAAGGAGAATCTGTTTCCAAAGGTGTCCCTTGACCCTCCACACGCCCACCATGGGGACACACACACTTAAATAAGTAAACACATATATGCATCTCTTTATTTAAGTAATCCTTTGTTTATAAATGCAAATAATGCAGTAATCAGATTATTTATTAGGATGATCACTACAATTAAATGTTTGCAATGTCAAAAGCATGAAAAATTACTTAAATATCCATTAAGGATGACAATCCACAGTATATTCAAGGCTGGCTAGTTTGGACCTGCAAACTATACCTCTGTTTTTAGATGGCTCATGAGCCAAGAATCATTTTTAACCTTTTAAATGGCTGGAAGAGAAAAATTTTAAAACACAAGAAAGTGATGTGAAAATTATGTGAAATTCAAACTTCTGTGTCCATGCATAAAGTTTTACTGAACACAGCCCCCCCCCACCCCGCCCCAATCATTCACTCATTGACAAGTCTTCATTACAAGGACACAGGTAAGTACAACAGAGACCACAGGGCTGCAAAGCCCACCGTATTTATCAACCAGCCCTTTATTTCCAGCCTTCCCACAGAAGCCATGACAGGATAGGACTGTGTCCACAAGACTGGCCATCTGGAAACCCTGGGGTGGGGAGGGGAGCCACCTTGTACGGAACAAGCACAGCGCAGTTACCTGCTAAAGCCACCACTCGAGTCAAACAAAGCTTTAGAGAACAGCAAGGTGGAGACAAGGGTCTAAGAACCCAACAACAGCACCTGGGGACAAAACTTCCGCCAAAAAACTGAGAAATGACTCTGAAGGTTCTGCCATGGGAGAATGTACAATGCACAGCATGCCTCCTCAGTCCCTTGTCCAATAGCAAGTAAAACCTCACGGCCATCAGGATCACGAGCTCCAAAGAAAGAAGCTGTGTGACTGTACATGAAGAACAGGCAGCAAACAGCCCCACCGTCAGTCTGGGGACTCTCCAAACCATAGGACTGATACAAGTCCTCACGCTCAAACATTTGAAATGCCTAAATACCACACACAACCATAGAGAAGTGTGTAATCTTGAAAGATGTTGTGTAGATAATGTCTAAAAGCAAGGGCAGGAGAGATGGTTCAGCAGTTAAGAGGACTGGCTGCTCTTCCAGAGGACCTGAGTTCAATTCCCAGCACCCACATGGTGGCTCACAACTGTCTGTAACTCCAGAAGGATCTGATCTCTTCTGATCTCTGATGGCACCAGCATGCATGTAGTACAAATACATGTGTACAAAACACACACATACACACATAAAATAAAGAGATCCAAAAAATATTTTTAAAAAGAAACTTTCTAAAGCAAAGACAGCCTGGCAATGTGGCACACGCCTTTGATTCCAGCACTGGGGAGGCAGAGGCAGGCAGATCTCTGTGAGTTCGAGGCCAGCCTGGTCTACAGAGCAAGTTTCAGGACAGCCAGGACAACACAAAGAAACCCTGTCTTGAAAAATCAAAAAGAAAACAAAGGAACAAAAAAATAAAAACAAAAGCAAATACAAGTAAAAGAAAATTCAAGGTGACAGTCATATCTGTTAAGTTTCAAAACAATCCTGAAATATTCTCACAGGTTCCAGCCACCACTTCCAGCTACTTTCTGGAAGTGATTAGGTATCGAGACCACATAAAACATGACATGAGAATAACAGAGTAGAGAGCCAAGGGTGAGTCTGTCTCCGTGGAGCAGGCCGTATGTCAGTAGCACAGACTCACAAACAGTTGTACTTGAACCAGAGGACACAGGAACTAGAGACAGGGAGCAAAGGGAACCAAGAGCCCGGACAGAGCATCTGGGGGGCGGGGGGCCACACACACAGACAGTCTCAGCATCACAGCATGGGGGGCCACAAACACACACACACACACACACACACACAGTCTCGGCATCACAGTACGGGGAGGACACAAACACACACAGTCTCAGCGGGTCATTAAGATCTTACTGATTTCAGGATTTCTGATCTCCTCTTTGATTGAAGCACATTAATCTGAGGGAAGATAAGCTTGATTAATCATCCATGAATTACTTTAAACACTAACGCAGAATACAAGACTCCAAACATGCTTGTCCGATCAATCCCAGAACAAAAGGAAAGCAAAGCTTGTGTTTTCCCTCGTTAAACATCTTTTGACAAGCATGCCAACGAATACTCAGCCACACTGGGCTCAGTGCAGACACCGGCTCTTCAAGTTATTGTACCGTTGTCATGGAACCTTTTAACACTTGAACATGTGACATGTCCATCTTCCTCACCCTCCTCATCGACCTGAAGATCAAGGTTCATCCACAGCCTCGGTGCAAATTATCACCATTGACCACTTTCTATCTTTCCTGGACTCCCTCTGTTTCCCTTCTTGGCCCCATGTAATCTCTTCTCCACACAGGTACCACGGTGATGTTCTAATATAAATATTACATCCTGCAACCTCCTACCATGTCGACAAAGGCCACTGTGCTGAGACCCTGCCAGACCCATCGCTGTCCCCCAGAGGCCTTGGTCCTGGCTGCTCTGCCTCCACGTCAGGATGCTCTGCCCTCGTGACCTATGGCTCTTTCTTACTAACCAGGGCTTCAACTACATACCATCTTCTTACACAGGTCAACCTCAGTACCTGACTCGCTATCCAGTACATCAGTCCTACTTACAGATAACATTTATAACTACTTTTGTTTTGTTTTTGTATTTTTTAGACAGGGTTTCACCAGGTAGCTCTGGCTGTCCTGGAACTCACGATGTAGACCAGGCTGGCCTCAAACTCACAGAGATCCTCCTGCCTCTGCCCTCCCCAGTGCTTACTCTGTGTTTTCTTACTATGTCTTTTCCCCAGCTAAGAGATAAGCTCCATGAGATTAGGACCTTCTTCTCAGTTCTAGTCCCCAAGGAGAATATAGTAAGCACTCCATAAATATATGGTAAAGTAATGGATTTAAGTACTTTAATTATGATCAACTTATTGAAATGCTAGCAAATTACGAGACTTTTCAGGGGTAGAGCTGAAGCTCAGTGGGCAGAGTGTGTGCCTACACGAGCAAAGCCCTGGATCAAATCCCCAGGATTTCTCCAACCAGGGGTCAGGGAGCATGTCTATAACCTCCAGGAATAGAGGCAGGAGGATTGTGAGTTCAAAGTTATCCTTGGCTAAATAGGGCGGGGGGGGGGGGGGGAGGCTTTAAGAGAATCTTTTGCAATTCTAGAAATTCCTACCAAATATTTTTGCTGTTGTTTAAAAACCAGCTTATTTAAATAAAACACTGATCCAAAGAGGCCCTTCACTCTTTGTTAAACGTCGCCAGAAGAGAACAGAACACCTTCCAAATGTTTTCTTCACTGAACTCTTGGTCTGTGTAATAAGGGAATTGTAAAACACAGTCTGAAAAATAAAAACAGACCAAACATGACCCTCAATCTAACTTCCTCCCCTCTCACTGGTTTCTTCTGCGTGTCTGTTTCACAACCTGCTCAGCTCTGAGAAGCACACTGACCCCCAGATGCTGAGCGCAGGCTGAGGGGAGCCCCTGTTCAGACTCGGCCTTCTGCTTTGCTGTTTTTCCTCTTTATTTGGAAAAAAAAAAAATTCAAACTCAAGGAAAACGGTCAATTCAAATACTTACAGGAGCTAAAGGACTTTACACTTTGGGTATTTGTTACCTATTATTCTCTGAAACAGCTACTTTGGCCACAAAATAAAATGATCCAAGAATTCTCATGAGAAAAATTAAATATACTCATAGTTAGAAGGGAGTGAGCATGGAGGCTAATTTAGTACTGTCAGATAAGCTCAAAGGAAATACACAATTAATATGTTTGAGTTTGAAAATAATGGAGTCAGGCGGCGGTGGCACACACCTTTAATCCCAGCACTGGGGAGCAGAGGCAGGCGGATCTCTGTGAGTTCAAAGCCAGCCTGGTCTACAGAGTGAGTTCCAGAACAGCCAGGGCTACTACAGAGAAACTTTCTATTACAGAGAAACCCTGTCTCAGGGGGAAAAAAAATGCCAGGCATGGTAATGAGTTATCTGTAATTCTAAAAATGGACAGATAAAAAGGATCCAGGGTGCTCATTGGACAGCCAGGCTAGCCTAATTGGTGATCTCCAGGCCAATGAGAGACCCGTCTGAAAGGAGGTGGAGAGTATTCCGGGGATAACATCTGCAGTGGTCATGTGGCCTCTAAAAGTGCATACACATACATGTGCAAAGATGTACACTCATGAATGTATGCATACAAAAAGATAAATAAATACACATTTCCAGTCTCTCCCGGTGGTGCCGGGTGGAACCCTGCTACAGTCTTTCTCCCCGAAGGGTCTTGGGGTTTCATCTTCCAAAGCAGCCAATGAACTCCAGAAACCTTCGGCAGTTTGTAAAGCTGGTGCCACTAAGAACATACGGTTCGCACGAGGGCTGCTGAGGCAAGGGCAAGCAGGCACTTCACCCAGAAAAGCATTTCTCACGGTGGGTTTCCTGAGAAGTTATTGTTTGGGGGTTATGTTTAGAAGCGCTAACAAAAGTTTTGAAAAACTGAAAAAGCAGATACATATTTCCAGTGTTGCCAGTAAAAACCAGCACTATTTCCGCCTGGTAGTCAAATATCAATTACACTGGAATAGAAACACTACAGAACAAAGTATGTATAGGATATTGTAACTAAGGGAAAAGGAGAAAGGAACCAGAACCAAAGGATCTATATCCACATACCTGTGTGTGCACAAAGACATATGAAGACAGCTGAAAGTTTTCCATAAAATGTCATGCTTCCCACTACAGCCCAGCACTCTAAAGACTGAGGCAGGAAGATATCAAGTAGAGGCCAGCCCAGGCTACACAGTGAGTCTGAGGCTAAGCTACCTCAAAAAAACAGTAAATTACAAACATTTAAAATGTCTTAATCGTAAGTTCAAAGGAAAAGCATTCTTTATTCTTCCTGGCACAATCATTCAAAGGCCCTGCTCCTCCGGAAGCGCTCAGGAAGACACGAGGCGAGGCCGTACCTGAAGGACGTAGTCCAGGGCTATGTGCCGGAAGCACTTCCTCGTGGCCGTGAGGATGTTTGTGGCCTCTTCCACTTCGTGCTGCTTGTTCCTTTGAACTTGGGCGTTTTTCACCAGTGCGTTTTCCTTTTCTTCGCTGACTTTTTCAAATTGTTTCTTGGCATCTTTGAATTTTCTAAGATCTCTAAAAAAAAAAAAAAAACAAAACTTTCTTCAAAATTCTGGCAAAATAACCTTAGACTGTAACACTACTGTTCCTTCGCTTATGTTTCCTCAGACGTTGGCAGTCATGAGCTCATCCAACTGAAGTGCGCATCCTTCCCCAGTTCCTGTTGTCACGGACCTGAGATGCCTGGACAAAGGACGTTCAGATCTGGGGCTTCCATGACTCAGGGGTACTTATACAGACTTCCAGTCTGCACCTTAATCCAACACTCACAGCTGAGAGCTTCAGAAGTTTCAGGTTTGGACCCTTGTAGATTTCTAATTTTTGGCTTACAGGTACTCATCATTCTGTGTATATAGATTCTCATAAAGTGAGCTAATGTTTCATTATTTTAATCTATATGATTCCAAATGGAAATGATGATAAAAATTAATGCAGCAGAACAGAAAGATAATTTTTCTAAAGATAAATTCAAAGCATGCACATGGTTTAACCATGACACTGTTTTCTAAACAACAGTGTAAGACTTACTATGGAGAATGTGTGTAGGGATGCAGACGTGAGTGGCCCTTGCCAAAGATTAAAATTCATTTACCTTCCAGATAAATCCTAAGAATCTGAGAAGTATTTTAAGACATACTTTTGCTTTTAAGAAACAACATTCATAAGCCCACCTCGGGGCAACACACCCACAATCACAGCTCTCAGAAGGCTACAGAAGGAGGGCTGTTGGCTCCAGGCCAGCCTGGGCTACAGAGCAAGACTCTGCCCCAAAATACCAAAAAAATGGAAGCAGCAGGAACAACTAACACATTTAGTAAAACACACAAAGGATAAAAATAAACTCTTGCCGGGCGGTGGTGGCGCACGCCTTTAATCCCAGCACTCGGGAGGCAGAGCCAGGCGGATCTCTGTGAGTTCGAGGCCAGCCTGGACTACCAAGTGAGTTCCAGGAAAGGCGCAAAGCTACACAGAGAAACCCTGTCTCGAAAAACCAAAAAAAAAAAAAAAAAAAAAAAAAACCTTTAAACACACATGTAGACCAATTTATAAAGAGTCAGCCGGGTTCAATTCCCAGTAAGGGCTCTCGACAGGCCATGTAACCGTCTGAAAAGGTGCAGTGGTCTCAGGTGGATACACAATACCTCTCCGCTCCACTACTACTACAGTGTGACAAAGTAAGTTGAAGACAAATGACTTTTAACTATAATAAAATACATAGTCTAAGAAAGACTATATAATTGATTGAAAACACCCCACAGGTTTTTATGTATCTTAGAAGACTTTCTGAATGTTAAAGCATTCTGAAATAATTTGAAAAACAGAACTGTGAGGGGCTGAAGAGGCGGCTTAGTGGTTAAGAGCACTGGCTGCTCTTCCAGAGGAACCCGGTTCAATTCCCAGCACCCACATGGCAGCTCACAGCTACCCTACAACTCCAGCTGCAGGGGATCTGACACCCTCACACAAACATACATACAAAACACCAATACACATTAAATGAAAAGAAAAAATCCCAAGCTGTGAGCCATCTTTGCAGGATAATTCTAACCTAGGCTGGGGCTGGAGCTCAGCCGCAGAGCCTGGCCTAATATACGGTAGGGGCTCTACCCACAGCACTGTGTGAAAACCCAAGCCCAAAACTACTCAAAACAGCAGTAGATAATATTCGACACTATTCGTATAGTATAATGTCCCTTACATATCTTTAAATATTGAACCAAAATTAACTGACATTTATAAACTCTCTGCTGGAAATCATAGGTGAAAACTAATTACGAATGTGAAAAACACGCTTTCCTTCACTTGAAAAGTTTGGACTTTTTTAACTTCTACTTCCATTTTACTTCCTATGTAAACATGACGACTCTCTTCTGATACATAACAATGCATCGCTTCTGTGGATCTTTCTCATCTATTATTATCTTCTCTTCACAGAAAATACCACACTGAGATGAGACAACTACCTTCCAATACAGTAAGTATGTCATACAGTAAGGATGGAGCTTTTAAATTACATTTTTATCTATGTTTAGAAAACTTTCTGGACTCTAACCAAAAGAGCTAGTTAAATATACATGGAAAGTGGATCTGATTCCCTCACAAACTCAAAAGAAATGAAGCACGTCTCCCAAAGCAAACAAGCCAGTCTCTTCAGAAATTTGAGACAATAATCTCCTTCTTTTTAACATCGTTAGCCCTGCCCCAGACCACCACCCCCACCCACCCCCAGCAACCATTGGCTGCCCCTGAACCACAGCTGACTTACTCTTTAACGAAGTTCTGAAGCTGTGCCTTAATTGATCTCTGCGTTTGGTCGAACAGGATCTAGAAGATAAAATATAGCATTCAATGTTAGAAAGGGACCAGAAACATAAGCACCACAGCTCCTGACCACTTCCAGTAACTCCTTATTTCTTAGTGAAGACTGTGAAAGAAAGTGATGGAAGAAAATTGAAGCCAATTTCAGGCCAGATTCTACCAGTCTCAAAATAACAACAACAACAACAACAAAAACTTGCTTCTCTTCACTACAGAAGAGAAATTTAGTGGGAAAAACAAACCAAAATAAAACAATTTCCTTAATTCTACTTCAAATTTGGAAGACAACCCAACAGTACAATTTCTCTTTCTCCACCCCAGCCAAAACCAGGCTGCGCTCTAGTGACACCCCAGCTAGAGTTCTTTCTTCACTGGGGAAGACTTGGGAACACAGACAATGGAAGTACTGAATTCCATCCAGCATTACACAGTCTTGTGGGTCGGGGGACAGCTGTGACTAGAAGACAAAATCTCGGTCTCAGAGCAGTTATTCTGTCCAGTGTTATGATGCCCCGTACCTAACACTGGTAGGTCTCACTATAGAAATTCCAAGTACTGGGGACTAGAGAGATGGCTCAGCAGTTAAGGGCACTAGCTGTTCTTCCAGAGGACCCGGGTTCAATCCTCAGCACCCACATGGCAGCTCACAACTGTCTGTAACTCCAGTTGCACGGAATCTGACACCTTCACACCAAAGGACATAAAATAAAGTTAGAAAAAGAAAAGAAAGCCAATAATGGGGGGAAAAAAGAAAAAAGAAAAAGAAATTCCAAGTACTTTCATAATTTTCAGAATTACTTCAATCTCAGAGTTTGAAACAGAGTTTTCTAATCTAAAATTCTACTATGTCTGCCCAATTTCCTTCCAGAAAAATGTTTTTTTTTTCACCTGTATCCTATTAAGCTCAATGTAAGCAAAAGAAAGAAAACAACAGAAATCAAAATGGAGCTAAACAGAAAATTGACAAAGAAAAATCAATAAAACCAACGCATGGCTATGATTATAAAACTGCTAAGTGCACAGCAAAGGCCACATCAAGAAAACAGAAAGGGAACCGGGCCCCCACTGGGGAGTTTCCACAAGACTGCTCAAGAAAGCATCCCTAAAGAGAAAGCATGTGTAACTGCAGGCGGGATGTCAGAGTGACTGGATGCAGTCAATTAAAAAATCCAAGTAGGAGCCGGGCGGTGGTGGCGCACGCCTTTAATCCCAGCACTCGGGAGGCAGAGGCAGGCGGATCTCTGTGAGTTCGAGGCCAGCCTGGGCTACAGAGTAAAGTTCCAGGACAGGCGCAAAGCTACACAGAGAAATCCTGTCTCGAAAAAACAAAAAACAAACAAACAAACAAAAAAATCCAAGTAGGAGCTGCTGCCCTATAAACCCAGGCTCTGCTGGGAATCAGTCAGCAGCCGATCAGGACTGCCCTCCTTCATAGGGAAGGGACAGTATGATGGACACTGCAAGGTGGCCGCTCTAGAGAGGCTTTCAACAGCCCACTGTCTCTTAGATAGAGGCAGTTTTTGTTTTAATGCGACGCCCACTATGCTCTTGTGGTAGGCTCACTAAAACTCTTTTTCTACTCTGCCCTGAAGGGTGAATACTTATATGAACACATCTCACAGCCAAAGCTATGAGAAGGGAAATAAAAAGGCACAAGTTTTGGATTTTAGGAGGCAGGATATGACCTCAGCACAGGTAGACATTAAGAAGATAATGTGTGTGGTTGGGAACCAATTATAAACCGAGAACGCAATAGAAAAAGGGGCACTTTTTTTTTTCTGAAACACAAAATCTACCAAAGCTCACTAAAGAGGAATCAATAATTAGCACACTTAGGGAAAAAAATCTGTGATTTAAAACCTCCATATCCTGTAAGGTCAAGCTGGGCCTGGATGGCGCCAATCTGTCTCTATCCTTCCTATCTATCCAAGAGAAAGATGTAGGCTCACATCAACAGCTACAGGTAAATTTCTACAGCAGCTGCACTCACAACTGCCGAAAACAGAAACAACTTAAATGCCCTTCACCATGAAATGGAAAGACGTTAAGACAGTAATACAGGGAACATCTTGAAATGCATACAAACAGATGAATCTCGGTGCACTTGGCTGGGTAAGTCCTATTAACAACCCTCACAAGCTACAATTTATACAGCATTTAGGAAAAAGCAAAGCTGTAGAAACAGAAAGCAGCAATTCCTAGTAGAGAAGGGAAAAGAAATGTACGTTAACAGGAAGTGAGGAGGGGAAACACAAGGGTGTGCTGGGGTGTATGTGTGACAGAGTGGAGTATCGAGACACAAACATACACACTGTCAAACCCTCTAAAGCCAGATGCCACAAGACATCAACTTTCATACACGTAAATTTAAAAATGACAAAGCACATGAGATTTCTTTAAAGTACAAAAGAGGACATTTCAGCAAAAAAGAAATTAAGGAAAAGCAACTTGAAACCACCACATTTATACCTGATCTTAGGCAGACGGCCAAGAAGCGACACCCAGCAATTCTACAGAATAAACACACTGACAGAGGGGCGCGACACCATTGCGGCTCTCACGCTGCTGCGGGAGACAGGTGCAACCAACGCTGGAAAACTGCCTCCAAAGCCTGAAGGCTTTGCTTGTTTTTACAATACTAAACTGTTAAAGAATGTAATATGTAAAGGAAATTTTAATATTTAAAATGAACATTCATAAATGAAATTACTTTTCTGTGGTTTTTTTCTCTGAGCACCCAATTCCTCCGCATGTAGTAAAAATTCACATAATGCCATCCGAGAAACATCACTGTCAGCTTTCAAACCTGGGACAAATGGCTGAGGTGCCTATTCCACATATCAAAGCAGAGCTGGCCTCCAGGTTCTCTCTGCATCCCTCCGTCTCTACCTGTGACAGGACCCTCCTGGCTGGCATACCCCGCCCCCTACCCTAAACTTCTCCAGCCCAGCCCTGGCTGCCCTTCCCTACATAATCCACCATTTGGTCAGCTGGTCCTTTTTATCTACTCTTCTTGTGCCCCTGGCTGCTGCACCTGGCTCCCCTCTCTCCCCTCCCTTCCCCTTCCCCCCTCCTCACCTGGCTCAGAGTCACAACCACTCTGGACTCTCTGAGGTCCCTGCCTCTGGCTATGCTCTCTGACGTATCTATGCTGATCCTTCTCCTCCACCATATCTAGGAGCAGCCATGTTCCTTTTCCTTTTCTCCATTCAGCTACCCCTAGACATTTATATACACACAATGCATGTTTATCTACAGACATAGATATATACATATGTACGTGTTTAGGTAGGTAGATAGGTATGTAACAAGCAACTGTATATGTAATAGCCAAAACTAAAAAGTGATACAATGGCCCATTGTGGTACACTTGAGATAAGATCACATTTTTTTTAAGATTTTTTTTTTTTCTATCAAGACAGGATCACTATGTAGCTCTGGCTGTCCTGGAACTCATTATATATTCCAGGTTGGCCTCCAACACTGCCTCCCAAGAGCTGGGATTAGAGGTGTGTGCCACCACACGGGTCACATTTTTTTTCTTTCCTGAGATAGATCTGATGCCCAGGCTGGCCTCCAATTGGATTGTAACACTACCCCTCTGGGCCACCCAGCTAGCTATGTTTAAAGGGCACACTAGTTCACCTGGAACATCTACAAATTCACTAGAGATCCCTGCTTCAAAAGCGGACCCTAGTTCTTCTCTCCTTTAGTGCAAGCTGTCTCTTGCTTCTTCCAAACAGTAACGAAAGAAGCGCAATATGACTTCTGGGACTAGGTCATGAAAGCTGCTGATGTTTCCTTTGCCCTTGCTCTTGGGTCACATTTGGAGAGTAACAGACTCCATGTCATAAGGACACTCCTGCAGCCCTGAAAAGAAGGTCCTTGGTGAAGAACTTGAGCCTCTGGTTAAAAAGTATATGATTAAAACACCTTAGCATTGGACCCATCAGTCCATGTGACGACTTCAAATGACTAAGGTCGCAGCCCCAATACTTTGCCAGCATCTCCTGAAAGACATCGAGCCAGAGCCACCCAAGTGAATGAACCTCTCCCAAACTCCTAACTCAGAAAACTATGAAGGAATAGAGGTTTGTGATCTAAGCCTCTAAGTTTGAGGTTAACTGCAGTAGCAGATAACATCGTCATCAAATGAGTGAGTATTCAAATGGTGATTTAGTCACATGACGCAATGTTACTGAGCAAAAACAAGAAATCAACTATTACACACACAGTATGACTGAGTCTCAAAATTACTAAGAAAGTTACTAGAACAGCGCAAAACAAATTAATCAATTATGATAGACTACAGATCAGTAACTGACCAGGAATGAGGAGGCTGGAGGAAGAGAGAAGGAATTACAGAGAAGCAAAAGGAAACTCGGGGGCACAAAATATGTCACAGCTTACCAGAATTTATAATGATGCAATATGTATACTATTCCACAGCAAAGCTGTAAAACGCATTCCAAAAGGGGAAAAACGTATTTCAAAATTATAACATATCATCCATATCCTCCAAAACACTGCATTCCCAAAATAAAAATTCATATGCGTTTGAATAGCAGAAGTATTTTAAGAAACTCATTAACCTCACTTGTTTGCATCTTTCTGAAACAAGACCTCACTGTGTAATTCGGGGTGACTGGAAATTCATTCTGTTTGTTGCCCAGGCTGCCTTCAAGCACAGTCTTCCTGACTCAGCCTCCCCTCACAGACAGGCACCATCACATGCTGGTGTACAGGCATATGCCATCACACCTGGCTGGCCTACACATTTGTATTTCATCCTTTACAGTGAGGACCAGGCTGCTAACGCATGGGCAACCGAATAAAGCTGTTTCCTATTTGCTGATGTCAAGACATACCTAACCACGAACTTTGCCAGTGCTGAGCTGTATACAGAACTGCCTTGAAAGCCAGGCGGTGGTGGCGCACGCCTTTAATCCCAGCACTCAGGAGGCAGAGGCATGTGGATCTCTGTGAATTCAAGGCCAGCCTGGTCT